ACATGGTATTTGATAATCTTAGATCCTCCTCACCTTTCTTATCTTTTATCAATTTATATATATATATATATATATATATATTTTTTAGAAATTTTTTTGCTCTAATTTGCTACTTACTTTTTTTCTGTGATATTATATGATGGAATTGACCATAACATAGAAAGATATTTTGAAGAGTTCAAAACTTAAGGGCCTCACCAATTACACAATTTGATAGTAGAAGCTTAAGACCTTCCTTTGAAACAAATAACTTTGGGGCATTATCAATCTTTCCATACTAAGTTTCTTTCTTAAAGAATAACAACAAAAGGCAACTCACTATTAATAATATAATTGGATAACTTCTAAACATTGGAGTACTAATACAAGATGAAAAATTTATTAATAGAATTTTTATTAGCTTATCTTCAAGCTAAGATATCTTTTGTCAAATGATATTAAGAATAGAATACACTCACATATTTAATAAACTAAAGAATCTTCTCTTCCAAGAAGATGTTATTAGAACTAGAAATAGTAAAAGAAGTGAAGCTAACAAAGTCTTATCAACTCAACACAAAGCCTTTTATATTTTTAGATTTAACTTTAATAGAAATTAAAACTACACAAGAAGATTCTCTAATTCAACACATAAGTATTCATTCAACTTCAACAAAAAATACTATCACTTACAATCTATATTTCAATAATCTTGACAATATGGCAGAGATTTGGAAATCAAATTTGAAAAAGATACCTACAACAAATGTAGAAGCTCATTTTACTAGGCACAAAATTTTAAACTCAAATACTTCCATATTAAGATTTATAAATTAGAAGCAAGAATTAAATTAAATTATTCTGAATGGTGCAAAAATCATTTAGAGAACATTGTTAAAATATCTCTACTTCTCACACCTTTTGGAAAAACTATACTTGCTGAAATACTTGAAGTTTGTGCAACAAAAACCTTATAGAAACTCTCCAATTGGATATTAGACTCTATAGCTAGCATTCATATAATTGGCAATCTAGACTTATTGACTCATGTCAAATCTATTCCTTTATCTATTATAACTACTATTAGTAGAAAAATTCTACCTATTATGGCCTAATTTTTCTACTACACACATTAGAAATAATAAATATTTGAATCACATTCTTTATGTACCTAGCATGATCAAGAATTTATTGTTAATTAATAAATTAACAGACTTTAGTTACTATACAATCTTTGGTCCAAAATATTATTGGATATTTATCATATCTCATCCTTGTAAATTATTACTTATAAGGACAAGATATTCAAATAATAACTTTTATACTTTAAGCAACATCAAACCAATAAGAACTTCACAAGACTTCTCCATCAACTTTGTAAGCCACTCCAAATTAGAAACTATAGAATTATAGCACAAGAAAATTACTCATCTCAATTTCTAATCTTTTTACAATTTATCACACAATAAGATGGTCACTAGAATACTCATCTTATTTCTTGTGAAAACATCTTGTAAAGCTTGTATTTTCAAAAAACATCATCAACATCCAATTCTATGATCCAATTTGATTTCTATAAGTAAGCCGTTCTAATTGGTATACTTAGACTTATGTGGTCCACTACTTATACCATCTCTCTTTGATTTTTGATACTTCTTAACTTTTATTGATGACTTTCCAAGGTAACCTTGGATCCACTTTTTTATTCATAAGAGTTTAGTATTTAAAATATTTAAGAAATTTAAAATTATGCTCAAGAAAGAAACAAATTATAGACTATCATGCCTAAAAAGTGATTGTAGAGAAGAATATATGTCAAGAAAATTTACCTCCTTTTATTCACAACATGGAATATGATGCCAATTGATTGTAACATCTACTCCTCAACAAAATAGAATTTCTAAATGAAACAATAGGTATTTATATAAAATAATATAAATTCTCTCATTTAATATAAATATATTATCTTTCTTATAGAAAGAAGTAGCTTATACAACCAATTATATCCCTAATAAAATTTTACATAGAGCCTTGTATAGAATAACTTTATTATAATTGTTTTTAGATGAAAAACCTAATCTCTCTTATTTATGTATATTTGAATGGATAATCTTTTATTACTTGATAATTATAAATAAACTAGAGGTTCAAGCTCAAAAATATATATTAGTTGAATATGACAATAATACTAAAGTTATAGATATTTTAAGTTCAAAAAAATAAGATCATTATTTCTAAAGATATTCACTTTAATAAAGACAATGTGAGAATTCTATCCACTACACCTTCAATCTCTTCAAATGACAATATCTTCTACTTATTCATTGGTCAAGTTACGAGTATCTCATGCTATGATAATAACATATAAGTCACAACTTCAAAATTGGATAATGCTCTCAACGACATCCTTCATACTCTACCTTCACCAAATATTTTTCAAGATTTTTCAACTACAATCATAACTCAACATACAAAATCACCAAGCACAGAACAACCCTTAATCTTTCTTTGATGCTTAATATAAATCAAAAAAAAAAATATTAAGCTAATAGACTATGTTCTTTCTATGACACCAAAAGACATAGATATGTGTCTTGTTCAATATTCAATTGATAACAGCAACAATAAGTTAATCCTAATAGAAGTACTTACTAACAAAGATTAGTTTAATGCTATGCAACTTGAACTCTTGTCTATTGCTAAAAAATGATACTTAGATTCTCATATAATTGCCTCCAAGAAAACATACAATAAATTCAAAATGGATCTTTAAAATCAATCTTGGCATTAGTAATCAAGTACCAAAGCAAAAGGCAAGCCTTGTGACATGAGGCTTTGAATGAGAATATAGAGTTAACATTTATGAAGTCTTTGCTCTTATGGTGAAATGATCTACAATCAAATCATTAGCAATTCGAGTTGCTCTAAAAAATCACTCTACATCATTTAGATGTCAAAATAGCCTTCTTACATGGCAATCTTATTGATGAAGTCTACATGGAGCAATCTCCTAGCTTCATTAAAATTAGCCATAAATATTATGTATATAAACTCAAAAAATCTCTCTATGGCCTATGTTAAAATCCAAGAATATAATATGAGAGGTTAAACAATTACTTAAAAAGTCTAAGCATAATCAAAAGTAACAATAACCATAATCTCTATTATATTGGCATTAATATTAACAAAAAAAAAAAAAAAAAAAAAAAAAAAACCTATGTCCACAATCTCTTCTTAATTAGAGGGCACATCAATAGAATATCTTGGTTAAAGCAACAACTAAATATAGAGTTTGATATGAGCAACCTAGGTCTCATCAACAAATATTTAGGTATAGAATTCACAATTCTGTTAATATGATTATTTCTATTTCAATCACAAAATGCTAAAGAAATAGTACAAGAATTTGAGATGCAAAGTTCACGTGATGAATACATCCCTCTACCTCCTGATTTATTGCTCTTCACTGATATGGGAACACCATTTGTGGACCCCCATAAGTATTGTTGCATGGTTGGAAAGCTCATCTTTCTCACAACCACATGATCAAACATGTCGTTTGTAGTTAGCAATGTCTCAAGATACATGTAGAAACCATAAACAACAAACTTAGAAGCCGTTCAACATATATTTAGTTATATCAAAGAAACCTTTGACTTTGGCCTCTTTTACAAATCAAACCGAAACAACAAAGTACAAGGTTATACTGATGCCGACTAGGCATCATGCTTTGAAACACGTAGATCCACAGGAGGTTGTTGCTTCACTCGGCTTGAACAGCGATTACAGCCGAGTGAACAGTAGAGGATTTGGCCGGCTGAACCAATGTAAAAGTCAACAAACAGTAGCTAAATCCTCTGCTAAATCCAAATACATGAGTTTATCAATTGAGACTGCAAAAGCTATTTGATTGAAGTGTTTACTTACCAAAATTGGATTCATATAATCTTCATCCTCCTCACTCTCACTCAGCAAAGCAACAGAAAATTCATGTTAAAATCCAAGACAAGCTTACTTCATTCTGCAACAATCAATCAACAATCTAAGAATCTTGTGTTCCATGCAAGAACAAAGCACATCAAGGTGCATCATCACTTCATCAGAGAAATAGTCAATTCAGAAGATAAAACTTTGCATTACATACACACAAGCTCACAACCTGCACACACTTTTACAAAAGCATTGCCTTGAAACAAGTGCAAACAGCATCGCACAACTTTGGATCTATTCAAATTCTCTAATACTACTCAAGTTACAGCTTCTTTCGGTTGGCCGCCCTGCCCTTGCTACCCGATGGGTCCTTCGCATCAAACCGGACCTTCATGCTTCTCGTCCCCGCCTCAAAAACTTGGCTTGTTGCAAAAGAATATGAACAACAGTTTGGCATTGATTATGCCAAACCTTTGCCCCAGTAATCAAATGGTCCATGTGAAAAAAGAGGGCAATGAACACTTCAGGGGATGACAATTACCAGTTACATGTGTTGATTGTGTGGCAAGGGGTTTTGCGTATTAGAAAAGAGGCAGTACACGCCTTGAAGCCGGCGAGGTCTGTTTCGTGGTTATTCGTTAATCTCATTGTTATCTCTAAGGACGGAAATATTACCCATGATTTCCCGAAATAATGTGAAGAATACCGTTGTCAGCAAGCTTACCGATGATGAGCCGACTGTCGGTACATGTAATCAATAGTAAAAATAATAGAGATAGTTCAATTTTTTAATGTAGTGTATTCATCCTGAAGGATTCGACTACTAAAGGTCTTTGATAATGTCTTTCATTATGTCTTTTAAAACAGGCGAGCTAATCTATGGGATATGAGAAACCCGTGTGCATTCGTCATAATTATATAATAAACTACACCATGAATCACCTTTGATAATGTTAATATTTCCCGACGTTGTTTGTGATTATATTGAGCTTAAGACGTGTTGTAAGGACAAAAAACCGCTACCCTCCAATACAAATCAGAAGATGAATTCAAAAGCTTGGGGGCCCAAAACAGGGCTGAACAGAAAGTTGTGACATACAAAATGAGATTATGTTTCATCAAATTCAGTGATATTAGATGTACAAATGGTAATCCAAAGAAACAGCAGGGTGCTGTATTGTAGGCATCAGAGCGCAGATGAAGGCAATATCATTAGGGGTGGTGGTGTTAGCAACCTGCACACACAACCCAGCAACATCATGCAATCAACACTCAGGATTATTCAACAATTACTCTTCATAGGCGAAATTGGACTGATCAGAGACCTCTTAAGCGAAATTTTACGTATTGAGGTTCTGATACAAGTGCTATTCACAAATTACTTGGACAATCTTTGTTTGTGCAGATTGATGAGCTGTTTATCGAATCAAAATCGTACTAGTTGGAATTTACATACCGCTGACATTAATTCAACACCAGTGACGCAGACATCAAATTGTCACTTCTAACTTTCAACGCTAGGGTATAAACACGAACCTTAACATTAGTGTTCCCAGATGATGCTGGAAGACAATTTGGTCTAACAAGATTGTCGCTCATCTCCTACACCTCATGTTCGGCTTCAATTTTTGGGCATAGTGGAGCCGATTGGATCGATAAAGATATTTGGGTTTCAGACAGAACTTGTGATGGAGTTTGTGAAGAAACTATCTGCCTGATCCCAGCCAATGGATTACTATTTTTCTGAGTAACTGCTTGTGAGGAATTGCTTTTAGCATCCAATGAAACTTGTGATGATGATGGAATCACTGCGGATTTGGATTGGTTTGTCTCAGTAGAGCTCGAATCATTTTGAGGCAGTGATCCTTGTGGTACAAGAAGTTCAACGGCATCTTTATGAGGCACTGGGTGTTTAGGAGACACTGCTCTCTTCGGAGCTATTAACTTCGATCCAGTCTGCCTCAGAACTTCTTCTAATGACATCTTCGTGGTATCTTGCAAGAGTTGGGATGGTGCTCCTGGTGCTGACGGTACTGCTCGCTTATTAAGCTCTTCGGTAGGAATATTGGTAGCACCAGTGCGCCGTAGGACGTCTTGCAAAGACATGTTCTTGGCTTCCTCGAAAAGTTGTGATGAAGTTCCTGTGGTTGAGGCACGCTTAGTAGCTGTTAACGTAGACCCTGTTTTCCGTAATACATCTTCCAAGGACAAGCCCTTCGCATCTGGCAGAACCATCGTTCTTGGGGAAGCCTGTGATCTTGACAAAGGTGAACCTGTTTGCCGTAAGACTTCTTCCAAGGATAATCCCTTGGCATCTTGAAGAGCAGTAAACGTTGGGGAAGCCTGGGAACTTGACAAATGCGACCCAGTCTGCCTCAAAACTTCTGCTAAGGACAGATACTCTGGGTTGCTGGCTCGCTCGTTGGACACTTGGGAGAAAACCCCTCGAAATGTTGTACCCTCTTGAGGAGCAACTACGTCAACTGGCCTTATGTTTGTTTTGTATGGCAATGAATGTGACTTTGGCATAGGAAAGGGCATGACATTTGGCTCAAGTGGAGAACTCAAGTATCTTCTGTCAATCTCTAGAATTGCAGTCTGAACCATAGGAGACTTATGAGGCTTTCTTTCTGGTTGAATGCTTGTGGATGTCGAAGTAACCTTCAATTCTTTAGGACTTGTCCCCTGTTGCATGATACTGGAGGTTAGAGTAATCTTTAAGTCCTTTGGACTCAAGCTCTCAGAAACTTTATGACTAGCAACATAATGAGGAGCAGGACCATGAACTAGAGATCGAGCTGGAGGGATTGGAAGTTCCTTCGGACAAGACAGAGGAGACTGCAGAGGCTGCAACGGCTGTGGGAGAGAAACTGAGGCACCACTCAAGCCATGGAAACGAGGCGCGGAATACTCCCAAGAAGCCTTTGAACTTTGAAATGATCCAGCACTAGCAGACATTTCGTTCCAAGTATGAGGGTATGAGATTGAGAAACCAGCATAATTTAAACCAGGAGACTGGTTATTGCTTGAAACTACTGCTGAAGTGGTTTGTGGAAGATGTGGAGAAGACCAAGGAGAAAGAGATGGAGTGCAGTATGTAGGCAGTATTGCACTAGGTTCATTTATGTGCACCAAAGAAGGTCGAGGTGAAATGACTTCGGAGGGCTGGAAATGTTTTGGCAACACTAGAGGGATCGAAGTTGAGGAATCTGGTTTGGGCAGCTCGGAAGCACCTGGGCCAGGATGCTGCTGTGGTGGTAGTGAACTTACTCCTTGCTCCTCCTTCATGGATTTAACCTTTGTCAAATATGGACCGCGTGTTCCCGTCATTTTTTTGTCATCAAGACTAACATCAGAATCAGACCCTGACGAGCTGGCCGGCGCGCCACTGCAAGTAGGGTCGCCTTCAAAAGCATTTCCTTCACCCTCTTCATCCTCATGAGCATTGATATTGGGCTCAAATTTGTATTGGATCTTTCTGCGCTGCCTTTTCCCTCTCCCTAACTTAGCTTCTTCAGCTTCCATATCCTGTTCTGCCAATTTTCCAAGTAGGTCATCCCATTCTAGACCAGTTTTTAAAGGACTCCCCTCCAAAGGAAGAGCACCCAACATACCTCCAGGTTCTTGCACTGTACCAAGATAACCAGCACCATCCTCCATTTCTTTTGTATCTGAAATATCTCTATTCAAAAGCAATTCAATTTTCTCATCTGTCCACTTCACTGACGTGCATTCTACATCGTACTGTTCAAGAACTTTGCGTGCTCCATGTAGAAGAAGAGTGTTAACATCCTCAGCTGTGTCTTTCTCGCTTGAACTCATGACCAGGTTTTCCATGGCCAATTTCTGGCGGGACCTTTCAGTAATCTTCTCTTCTACAGAACATTTAGTAATAAGCTGGTAAACAAGCACTACATTCCTCTGACCTATACGATGAGCCCGAGCTTGGGCTTGCAAATCTACGAATGGATTAAAATCAGGATCTGTGGCAGACAAGTACAGAAATGTGAGAATCGTCTGCAGGACAATGAAGCTTGAGAAAAACAAACGTATATAAATGCCATCATAAGAACACAACTTTGATAACATGCAACAAGGCCAAATTTCAACAACAATAAGGAATCTCGTTAAACTAACACTAGGCTTCAAGTGTTACCAGTTTTCAAACGTATTTGCAAAGCAGAAGGAGAATCCCGAAAAGACTAAATGATAAATCAAGAGGTCAGTTGCTCGATGCTACAAATTAGCCATTCAAGCTCATAGCTTCAAGTTGGTATGATAGAACATCGTAAATTTTGGTCGACAGCACGAAGATCACGAAATTCAATGAGTTGAGGACCAAGTATTAATGCAATGCTAAGAATCGGTAAAATGTTGGAAAAAAACAGCTGGTGCTTACCGTAGATAATGACTGTATCTGCACTTGGCTGCCACAACAAAGCACAAATATGTCAAACAAAGAATACAGAATTATTCTAAAATTCTAAAGTTAAAATTCTACATTTAAATAGAAGCAACCAAATAGTTCAATTCAATGTTTCTTACCAAATTGATCCCAAGGCCTCCAGCACGAGTTGAGATGAGGAAGATGAATACATCGGAGTTGGCACTATTGAAATCGGCAATCTGCTTCTGTCTTCCGGAGGCAGGTGTACTTCCATCAATTCTGTCACATGCAATGAAATAAAAAGAACCATATTTAAAAAATAATACAGAGCAAAAATTTGATTCATGAACTGGTAACAGCTTGAGAGCTGGGAAATGTCAGGAAACCTCTCAAATTCACTCAGTTCTCATATTTGCTTCACGCCAGATGAGAAAACCAGGAATTCCCAACACCGCAGCCCCTAAATTACGGCTCTGGAGTTCCGGCCTTTCGCAGTTAAGATCTCATTCTCTAATGCTGTGGCAGTTGTATTCCAAATTGTTGCGAAGTTAAGAACATATGTGCATGCCAAGGGCAAGACAAAGAGACTCCAGCAACTTATTCCGATATGAAAATACATTTTCTGAACACACCTACAGAACTTGTAATCCAGGTGACTCAAAAAGTCCTCCAAGATGTCGAGCATGCTCTTCATTTGAGAGAATAGGAGCACCCGGTGACCACCTTCTTTCAGTCTCGGAAGAAGCTGTCAAACATAAGAAAACGAAGTCCAAGAAGATGAGCAACAAAAGCACTTTATCCACTTTATCCACTGTATACGAAACACAGATTCACGTCATCAACATCGGATGAACAAGGATACAAATGTCATAGTAAAAGTTGTCATTTCAGAACTCTCAGTGAAAAAGAAGCGTGAACCTTCGCAAGAACTTGAAGTTTTCCTGAGGCAGTTATAAGCAGCCTAAATAATTCATCCGCATCACCATGTTCAGGTTCCTTGCCAGGAAATAGATACTGCAGCAAAGCAGAGAAACTTCATATTCGAATATTGCGTCACATGCAACCCTAGGGCAGCAGAACATAGATTCTCATTTCTTAACATCATGCACTACAAAGAACAACTCACCGGATGATTGCAGACCATCTTTAGGTCCATCAGGATGAAGTTGAGTGATCTTTTCTTACCTACACACAATTATAGTATTTTAAAACTCTGCTTATAGAGACAAATACACCAACCTTTCAACAAGTCATTAAACTTCGTTCTGGAAAAAATTCAAAACCTAGGATTTAATTTATTTAAAATAGAACACTCGTTGTATGATTTAGCGAAGTGCTTCAAATATGCACAAAAAGGAAATAGCGGAATACCAGTAGTATTGCCACGATTAAGCTGCTTGTAATTCTTCTTTAAAATGGCCCCATATAAATGCCGCTGAAGAGGTGTGAGAGCACACAGAACTTCCACGTATTTTTTCCCAGGTATCATTCCTTGCATAACATCTGCCTTCAATCTTCTCAGCATTCTAAACCATGCCAAATTGCATCGAGACCAGAATGTCAATAGCTAAACTATTGAAGGCCCAGAAAAACATTAAACACAAAGAATTAGAGCTTCGTCTGCGAAACCCATCCAACGAACACTTTCTGAATAAAGAGACTCTGTCGGATGAAGCTGTATGTATGATGAGCAGTGAAGGGATGGCACAAATTAGTCACTTTAACCAATGTTGAAGAAGAATTAGAAGACAAGCACCGCATGTCTGCCTAAAACCTAACGTACTCAATACGACGAAGACAAAACTCAGAGTTGCTAAAGAAGTATACTCTAGCCTAAATCCTATATCAAACATTCCTGTACACATTGAGTAAGAATGACTGTATACCGAGGTGTCAGAAGCTTATGAAGCCGAGAAACTTGCTGATCTACCCCACCCTCTCCTTTGGAACCTGCTCCACTGAGAGCGTCCACTTGAGAAAACTCCTGAGCTGACCTCTCCGGATCTGGGAACTCAACCGGGTCCAGGAAGTGCAAGAGTGCAAACAACTCTGTCAAAGTATTCTGTACGGGTGTGCCCTGCATGGTCATACGAGATAATAAACCCCGACACCATTAATAGCTAGCTTCTAGTGAAGCAATCCATCGAAAGTATTTCATTTATCCAAAAGGAGTATATACCCAAGAAAATATTTGCAATATCAGGTTGAGTAGAACAGAAGTGGTTTATGCTTTATTATCTATAACAGAGCAGAATAATTAAATTGCTTCATCAGAAAGAGGTTATCCTCCAATTGGTTTCTAACCACGCACGAAGAAACTTACTGTAAGCAAGAGCCGAAAATCAGCTTTCTGCCGCCGGAGAAGGATTCCAAGTTTTGATCTTGTATTTTTAACTCTATGTCCTTCATCAACTGAAACATGCATTCCACAATCAAGAATTATATCACAGTTGAATTACACGGCAGAACGCAACAAACAATCAAACTACCAAGTGCAATGCAAGTTCATCCCGCAGTATTGGCTATTTTCGTGGTGAAATACACTTTAGCTAGCCACGTCTCGGGGGGAATCTAGGCTTTGTGATAAAAACAATATTACTCCAATACACACAGGAGCACGATTAACACATTGAAACAATCCACAAATTTGCAATACTTGACAATACTTGAAATAAAACCTGACACACGGAAATTTGTAAGAATGAAAAAAATTCAGGCACTAAACAAGAAATCAACAAAAGAAAACAGACGGAAATCGTTCAGCAAGCAACAAGACAGCTAAACTGAGCAAGATGTGCAAGCATGTGTAAGATGCAGACGGCCTAAAAGAGTAAGTGTTGATTCTCTTGAAAAAGCGTGGGCAAAATCAGCGCAAAACAAATCATACGTGGCGTAAGTAGCTAAAAGGTGGGAACTAACCTATGATGCAAGCCCAATCCATTTTTTCCAAAAGGGAGCTGTCAAGCATTGCCAGATCATAAGATGTTACCAAAACATCAAAAAGAGGAATTTTCTCTCTCGTGAAAAACTCATAGTTGCGTATCATTGTCCGACTTTCTTTGTCACCTTGATAAATCACTGTATTCAGATCTGCTCCCCATTGTCCAAACTCCTGAAGATATTTCAAAATCATTGGGATAGTAGTTATTACGAAAGCGTCATTAGAAATAATTCAACGCGACAGTTGCAAAAACAATCAACTCAACATTACTACCTAATTTTCTTTTCAGCCAAGTACCATCTTTTCATCGTAGACCTGATCGATTTACAGGAGCTATTAATGCTCAAAGGAGTAAACAACTTCAATTTGAGAAACGACTCGGAGATATGCAAAGCATACATCTTTCAAGAATACACGCAAGATGCAGCTATCTTGAATGGCACACGGTCGTGGAATGTAGATGCTCAAATGATCAATTGATCATTTAAAAGAAAAAAATTTACGAATACAGCAATTGAGACAATCGATAGCCATCGAATTACGAAGGACAAAGAATTGACCTGGAGGCAAAGACGTGAGCATGAGAAAAATACCTGTTCCCATCCGACCAGGGTACTCTTTGGACCTATTACCAAGACAGGTTTGTTACTAAGATTCTCGTATTTGAGAGCCATAATGAAGCTCACAGCTTGAATTGTTTTTCCTAAGCCCATCTCATCTGTTCAGAAAATAATTACTTAAATTCGAAGGGGAGAAGAAAAGAAAAAACTAGTCTCATCTAAAGAGACATGAAAATATGGCTACAGGACAACAAAAGAGTCACCCTTCATTTGTTAGATTACAAAAATTCTGGCAGGAACGGAGTAATCCACGAGTAAAACTTGTAGAAACATCACAAAAATAAATAAAAAATTACAACAACCTGCTGATGTGCATGTTATTTGAAGTCGACAAAGCATGCAGTAAACAGAGGCACACGGCAGAAAAAAGTTGAGGTATTGAAAAACGGAAAGACCAAAGGCCAAGTTAATGTGACGATCCACGTCTCAACCAAAAACCAGGAGGCAGCGGCCTGATGTAATGGAGCCATACCAGCCAGTATGACACTTTTCCGCTGCTGAAAGTTACTAAGCAACCACTTCAGACCCTGGAGTTGGTAGTCGTGAAGAACTCCTCCAGAAATATATTTTGGTTGTTCTGTAATCGCAGGTGCTATAACCTGGTCTGCTTGATCGGTGCACGCTCTTTTCTCTGCCAAATTATGCCTCTCAATGAACTTAGATATAGCTTCCTGCATGTCTTCGTGATTGTTCTCTTCCTCCCACGTAGATCCGTTGTACTCTATGTTAGTCCACTTGACTAAATACTCCTTTCTGCTGGAGTTCAATCCCGGAGCTTCCCAAGCTACTGGTGAAGAAGGTACACAGTCATTATCTTGATTACGAGAAGCAATAATGCGATCTATCTGCACCCACTCTGGCCTGCGCTCATCAGACATCTCTTCTCCGTCTCCAACACTGCTCACAATGCCACCACAGTAATCACCACACAGAGATACCTAGTCAAAATTATTAACTCTGGATATCGTGGGTCACAAATACGTGGCACAATCCAACTAGATCCTGCCTGACATTTCGAACCATGCAGTTCGAATAAGATTAAGATAATACAGCGAAGTGACATCACAAGAGCACTAAAATGACTACATGAAACTAAAGATTCTTGCGGATGCAGTGCAATTTCTTGGAAAAAGGTATTTACGTGCGTAAAGCCTTCACTTACGAGGATTTGCGTTGATAGGTGGCGAGGCGAGTCTTGTCAGCAAATAAAAGCCATTCTTCAGGGACCTGAAACAAGAGCAAGTCAAGCATTTCATCAGTTTAGAAATCAATACTTAGAATACTGTTGAAAGTGACGATACTGTGTCAATAAGTGATCTAAATGCATACCCAAGTATCATGCCGATGTGAAAGGGAACACCACTTCACAAGATATTGTAGCTTCCTTTGCTTCTGACCCTCACCCTCAGCCAAAGAGGGACCTTTACGAAATCCAAATATTCCCTCAATTTTTTTTAATGGAGGAATCATTCTGGTGCGCAATTTCGAAGTTCGTTTCACAATTGTGCCAATGGCTTCCTTCGCACGTTCCACATATAAGCAGAGAGGACACAACCAGTCTCCTTCAGGTATAGCTTGAAGAGGGAATTTCAAACAGAACAAGTGGAAAGCTTCGTCACAGGTCTCTCCGTCACACAACAACATCGAATCTGCTGCTCCTGCGAACTGGAAATTACACAAAACAGAAACCAAAAAATGTAAACCACGCTGTATCAGCAACATGCAGCCCCACAACCAATGCTTACACAAGGACATATGTCCTAACATCGAAAAGGCACATTTCCAAACACAAAAGAGACAACCCCCCAAAACTGTATGAGTATTCTAGAGAGCTCATGTAAGACAAGCCACTACTGCTAATACTGATACACAGTACCTCACAAACGGAGCAAACTTCTTCATCTAATGAATTTCCATCCCGTTGAGGTTTCTGCTTAATTCTTGAAACTTCTCCCTTCTTGGAAAACCTCTGTTTCATATGATATTGAGCACAGTTATCACCACTAATACCATTGATCTTTCCATCAATTATGCCCTTGTCATTTTCGTTGCACGACGAAACGTCTATATTTCCCTCCATGACAAAATCGCCATTCACCTCACTTCGAGCCTCCCTTGACGATTTTCCTGGACCAGAATTGCCAAGCCTAGAAACGATAATTTGTTATTCATTGTATTCCACATTGGATTTACCCGTACTCGGTCAAATACAATTTATAACAAAACCTGTGACTTACTTGAGTAATAAGCTTCCTATACTCAATAGCATCACTAACCCGTGATTTCAAATTATGAAGTGGATTTCCCTTTCTTGTATGAAAAACCGCTTTCAAATGTATTTCCAAGATACATTAAACGGCCAATTTGAATGGAGATACTGAGCAGATAAATTGAGGAGCCTTAGTGACCAATCCAAATAAGAAAAAAGGTCGGGATATGTGATTCCCACCTGCTTCCTCGTCTTCTGACTTTCTTTTCAAAACAAGAAACAATCTCATCTGACTTTCGCTTTGACACTCTAGTCCGTGTTATTGATTTGGCATGTTTCCCTCGGTCAGACTCCTGAGAACTATCAGAAAAAGTGCCATCTGAACTTCCTGCCCCAGAACTTTCGTCATCTAAACCTTCATTCTCTGATGGCTCTACCTCTTTGATATGCCGTAGCCTTCTCTGATTATCCCCGATTTTCGGCTGCACACTAGACCCCGTCACTTTTGCACTTCTAGTGAAACTGCTACGAGCACCAATATTTGTTTTATTATCAGGTACATTTCCTGTCCTTAAAGCGCTCTGAATTTCTTTCAGTCCTTGCTTCACTTTGCTTGTGGCCAGTTCAGCATCTCCACTAATGTCGCCCGTATGCTCCTCCTCGGAGTTCCTTTCCTCGTGGTCAGGCATTCTTCGTTTCGTTATTCTCGACCTTTTTGCATTCTTAGGCTGCGGAGTACCACTCATCGGTTGTGGACTATTTCCGACTCCGCAGGAATCTTCAGTCTTACCATCTTCTTCAGCATCTCTACTTATCCTTGAGGTTCTCTTGTTTCCTTTCTGACCACAATGATCTTTGCCTGTGATGTCCAATGAATTTTCTGGTTCAACATTTGATTTATCCTCTTCAACATCTGCGCCATAATACCCTTCATAAACATCTCTTCTTAACCTATCAGAAAGACCATCTTTAACCTGTTCACTCATCATACCCTTCCCTGTTCTTTCTCCTGTTTTCCAAGATGAGATATGTTCCTCCTAAGGTAAGGAAGCTTTCCGCCTAACTTCCAGCATGAAAATTGTTCTTGATCTGATCAAAAAATAGGAATTAATCTCTGACGGATCATGTTCTCTCTCATAAATTTAGCATTCACATGTGGACTCTACATACACTTGAGTTGGGCAACCATTCAATGAACTCGCTATGTCCAAGACATAGTGGATGGCGAATATCAATCAAGGAAACAAGGGAGTGTCAGTTTCTTCTGCTCAGGTGTGGACCAAATGAACTGAGCTCATACATGATTCGACACCAATCATAGTAATGCTCCCTGATCAGCCCTACCAGACTTGGCACAAACTGCTATTCCCTGTTTGACGGACACTTGGAACTTTATGATGTTGACTTAGTCAGCATAATAAAGCCTTAAAATCAAACAATCTGATTGTGACGACTAGGCTACTAAAATACGCTTCAGCTGTACAATATACTTACAGAGGGAGTTCCAATAAGTTAGTTGGATAGTCATGCTTGCACCAAACTCTGAAGAACGAACAAAACGGTCATGAAACCTCACATTACTCCAGCAAATTTTTAAACCCCATGAACACTAAGTCATTTCAGAAGTCAAGTTCATTCATAAATATTCAAATAAAACTACAGTCAATAAACTTTATTTCTGAGAACCACGTTGCCAAATACATACCAGCGGTCGTGATGGTATGTATTTGGCAACGTAGTTTACTAATATCATTCATAAATATTCGAAATAAAACTTCGGTGCAGGCATGACTGTCCAACTAACTTAGAGATGTTACATTCTTCACCTCATTTATTTGGTGCACCATGTGTTTCTTTTAATTTATGTCATTTATGAACATATACCATTATATACCATGTATGCCTACATATGACTGAGCGGAAAAGGAGTCTCAGAAAATCACCAGACTGTCGGTTGCCAAGGATCGCGAAAGCTCTGGCCATAGCAGCAACGAAATAGAAGACTTCGCTACGTTTCTGGATACATCTACCACGAGCAGGATGAGAGACTATTCATACGATGCGATCGAAGACAACACTAGCTCAAATAACTTGAGATGCAGCCAATTGCCGATTGTGCCTCGACGCCAGCAAACCACGTTGCCAAATACATACCAACACGACCGCTGGTGTTAAGAAAAAAATTAGGCGTCTGTGCATTGCATTGCCTTATACCGTATTTCCTCTGAGAAGCTGACTAATCCTTCACAAGTTACCACAGAAAGCAAAGTTTCTCGCCAATACTCTCCTCGTGCACCGTCCCTATTCAGAAATATTGCCATCAAAAACTCAAGCTCTAACAACCGCAGTACATTGCATTTCGAGAATTTCTAAAAGAAGAACGCACGACTAGCTCATCAAGTGGAATATCAACGACTGGGTTCTGACCTTCGCTGTGCACCATGGGGTAGATAAATTAGTCCAAAGCTGGCAAGCAAGATCGTAATTACATTTGCCAACGTATTCCATTTCCAGCTTCCAGAGTACCAATCAGACCACCAACTTTACCCATTTGAACAGCATGCTGCCGAGGCATCCCTAAGCGCTACATATTACAGATTTCATTGTCAGAGTGCCTGCGTCTTACATTCGGGACAGACGTTTTATTTCATATGAATATTCTTCACACGTGAGCCTTGTAATTCTAAATTGCGCAAAAAGTAACATGCCAAATACGCTCGTACAGGAAAATTTACAAAACAAAGGCCACGCACACTTTACCTTTCTCAGCATTTTTATCCTGGATGAAGCGAGCAAAACTAAACTTTCAATGAAAATTTTACGAATATACATCGTAAGAAACGGATGCTCACCCCTGCAAGAAAACGCTCTTAGATCCAGCGAAACCAGAACACATTCTCCTCATCATTGCTACACACTCCTGCAGAAGTTTTCACGCCACCCGCTCGCACTAACTCATCAATGCGCTCAACAAAACTAACATTCCGAACGTTGCTAATGATATAAATTAAATCCCTGCTAAAAAGTGAAACGCAAGAATGAAACAAAGAAACTTCGAAAATTTGCTTTCGCCAAGGCATTCCAGTCCGTACACCAGGAATATAAATTTTAAAAAATCCCGCACGCACTTACACACATCACGAAGAACGACACCGATGCGTCCAAGCAGCATCGACACTTCTTCATAGTCTGCCAACACTCTTTCGATCAGCTCATTTCCATTCCCGCCCCCGTTGACTTTGTGACTTTCCTTGAACAAATTCACCGTCTCGCTCTTGCCATTGTCATACAGAACTTTGCAAATGCCAGAACCAACATTCATAGACTTGACCCTGCCATCATACTACGTCCGGTCCACGAGCCAGTGTACAGAAATCGCATCGCATGACTTCACTACTCTCTTGTCTGGCATATCAGTCCCTTCCCTTCCCATGCTCCGTCGCAAATCCGAGTAGGTCAAATATACTTCCTACGAGCAGCTTGCACCCGTAGCAAAGGAACAGTACTGGCGAACACAAATATTTTCAGCGATACGGGCAGCAATTGCCGTCGTCGTCTTCGGGGAGAAGCTCTAAAATAGCCATTACTGGAACGACTGCGTAACGCTAAAACTTCTACAGCCCCTGGAGCGAAATGCCAAATGAATTGCCTCCAGATGGCTTCACGGCGAACCAACTAGTAAACTCCGACGTAAGCGGTGGAAACAAAAGCCATCGGGTATTCGCATTTGACCCTACTCTTCTTCCACTTGTGCACCTTGCTGCTGGTAAACTTCGACAAAAACTCCGGTTGAGAGCACCGGAGATGACTCCAGGTCCCGTTTCATATCCCACGTCTCGACCGTGGGGTCTGGATCCACATCCCGAGAGCCACACAATCCTGCCGTGTTCACGCGCACCTGTCTAATGAAGGAAACTAGTTGAATTTTGGCCCTGTTCACATTAGCACCATAGAAACCCACATGAGGCTTGAGGCTATGTTGGGAAACTCTTCCGTGGTTTTAATGACACTACCAGATTCAGGATTGGTTGTGCCTGAGTATTTGTTATTATTTTTAGCCCTTGTTCTTTGGTATAATAAAATATGTTCATATCGCTTTTTTATGTTCAGCTTTAATTATTCCCATGATTTCAGATGCTTCTCATTTTTTGAAAGATTTATGGAAGTGAAACAGGAAAAAAAATTGCATTGTCTTGGTTGGGTAACTTTTACTATCCATGTGTGATGTAACAGTCAGATTTCACATTTCACATAATAGATACCTAGCTTGCATTTAGATGTTTTTACTTCATTTGTCTGTCATTCATGTGTGTCTAAAGACATAAATGTTGACTAGCTATCTCAAATTTACCTGCAAAAACTCACTTACCGGCAACCAATTGTTGGGAGTCCTTAAAATATTGGTAGGAAAATGCAAGACTAAATATTTGGGGTTCTTAAATAAGTAAATAAATAAACATATATGAGCAACTAGACTGAGTCAAGGATTTGATAAAGTGTTCATTAGGGATTTGAGTTCATCCAGTACTGGGTATCAGCTGGATACCTATTTTGCTAGGCCGTCACATTCTTCTTTGCATATGTAAATTTCTTCAATACATCTATGATGGGTTGTTCATTTGAATGATGTGAGAAAAGGACGATTTTTTTCTATTCTTTGCAAACAAAGCACTTAACATTTTTAAAATGTAAAAGAGGTTTTAGAATATCAAAACTTAAATATGAATGTAATATCACATGTTTAGAAATGTTAGGTGTGTATTTTAAGTATTTTTTCAAAATAAAAATCCTTGAATTTATAGAATTATATATATATATATATATTTTTTATGAAGAATTATTACAATAAAAAATGTAACAATGTCAAACATATTGATTTTGACATAAAAGAACTAGAAATGTACACAATTATTGTGCAATGACAAAAGATGTGTTCTTGGATGCATTTCATTATTTTTGTTTTTCTTTTCACCTTGTGACTTATTTCCAGAATATTATATAATTACTTTATTTTTTTGTAACAGTTCGCTTATAAATCTTCATGTGGAGGTACAATCCTTTTTTATATATTTAGATTTGATTCTGTCTACCATATCATTTTGTAATTTAAAAAATCAGAATCCTCCACGCAGACACACTAATAATAGAACTAAAATATTCATATATGGATTTGTAAACTCTGAATGAATCTAGGAATTTTCTACCAACTATCATTTTTAAGTTAAAATAATGATTTGAAGATATGATAACGTCTACAAAAATAAATATCATTCAAATTTGGCATTCATAAATTCAATCCCTTTGTGGGCCACTGACAATGTAATTCAATATTTTTGAGAATCAGTCTACAAAAAAATATATTAAAATGTTTTTATTCTACTTTAGTTCTTAGAACATGTATAATTTATGCATATACATATTTAAGTCATATAATAGTTATTCATACGCATGTCATAGCTATCAATATACAAATGTGGTAAATTAAAATAGTAAGAACAGTATATTTTTCATTTTTTACACATTGTTTTATTATAGTTTATACCTTTATGTTATTCATAATATTTTTCTTAAGATTGCATGTAAAATTTATAAATATCTTGTCATGGCTTTGTTTCTAAAATATAATAGCTTCATTACATATATATATATATATACACACACACACATTCTCACACTAAAGCTCCATCTAAAAGTCATGAATATATATATATATATATATATATACTCAAAGTTTATCATTTTATAAACAATTGAAAATCTAATCTCTTGTATGCATTTGCAATGTTAAAAAATTTCTGCTGACTTTGTTATATTTCATAATTTCTGAATCTTTGTAAAAGTTGTACTGAAGATCAATGAATGATTATTCAGTTAAAAGAGCAACTTGTCATAATGCAAATATTTGAAATAATTTACATACATACATACACAAATAGATTTTTGTGGTGATTGAACAGATCCATCAGGCTTAAACTTGTGTCATCACTAAATATGCTAATATCTTCAAAAACTTTCAACAATAACAACTTTTCAACTGACGATTTTCAAACTATCATGCTTCTATTAGTGTAGGCCTTGATAATAGGATTTAAACTTTGGGACTTTCACTTGGGTTGACATGACTTTAGTGTGAATAAAAATAAAAATTAAAAACATTCTGATCTAAGAAAGACATTGTTTAGTTTGTTGCCAACATAAGATAATCATATCATTTTTATATTAGTACTTCACTAATTATTATTTATTTTGAATTATGAGGAAATAACTTATATTTTTCTGATAATGCTGTATTTTGTTAAAATATAGTTTACGAATTAAAAAAATTCTAAAAGTTAATTCAGTCTTCTGTTTGCTCTCTGTATTTTATACGCCTTAAAAACCAATGAAAAAAAACAACTAGTAAATAATTGCATTGATAACATTGATCAGCAAGGAAAGAAAGATTTTTGATAGGATTAACAATTTACCTCAATAAAAATGTATTTTTAAAACAAAACATACTAAAATTTAGTCTTACAAGTTTAGAGTGCTTTAGAGTCATAATTTGCAACACTATTTCATGATAAAACTTTGATGCTTTCAGTAATAATATTCAAATGCAATGTTATTATTAATACAATATTAAAATGAACGTCAAAATAATAAGATGGTTCACCTATCAATTTAGTAATTGGATTCTTCCTTCTCCATTACATACACTTAAATGTAGATTCTATATTTGTTTATATAATTATAGAAACACTGGCGAACAACTCATTAGAATATGTTTATCGTGATCTTCTTTGCAAAAATAACAACCCAAATCATAAAACTATGCAAAAATATTTGTTGGAAACTATGTATTTCAAGTTGTGCTTCGTTTTATCTTTTTTCAGAGAAGGAGAATGCAGAAGGCAACGGTACTGAATCATCAATCGATACCTCTGTGCCATCAATTTGGAGTACTGATTCATCAATGCATTTCACTTAGGCCTTTGAGTATTGATGTTGGTACGTTTGTACAACACTTGACGTCTATTTAATCCACAAAGGGATCATGGACTGATGAAGCTCTCATGAAGAGCATGATGTGTTTTGATCACTGTAGAAGTTCTTAGGCATATTCGAAATCGGCCTCGATGTTGCGTAAGCGCATCCGCGAAGAACAGTATGCTGGAGATTCCAAGAGAAACGGGAAGCTCAATTCGTAAAATATTGATTCCCAATGGCAACTTCAGTCACGTATTCTTCGGCCAGTTCGTAGTGTACCTCGGTGTGAGAGGGGAGGTTTTCGGACACTCCAGTCGTCAAGCAGTCGTGATACTGTACTGGCTTCGATCAGGATGCGAGGGACATCCCGCATGCATCTCAATCAACTGTGGAAAAGGAATGTAGAATGCGATCGTCAATTATATTCGCGTGATAAATGCTGGCAAACACACAAACGAGCTTTGGTTGGACAGAATGAAGTGAAGCAGAGAGAAATGATGATTTACGAGTGATGCATCATTTACCTTCAAGTTACGAACTGGTCACAGTTTGCGTGCTTCCAGAGGCTTGTCTATTTTATGTCACCTCTTCATTGCATCACTGCAAAGACCTAACAGTAATAGCCAGTAAACATGATATGCAAGCACAATGTAGAGCTTTACTGCTGTTTGAGATTTCAATAGGTCATATTGCGGAAACTGTGGATATTCATTTAGCACACGCCGCATGCTCTAGAGTAGAATGAAAACTATTGTTATTGGAAAGCTGTGGATATGCCAGTGAATGATGTATGTCGCACCTCGATCGGGTTCGAAAATTTAACTATGTCACCGCGACCACAAATGAAGCAGCAGATGAGTGGCAAAGGCTGTGCCAGCTATAGGGAAAACAAAAAGGAAGAAAGTAAATTCTTCATTGCCTAATCTTGACAAGTAGTCAATCGGTGGAACACGGCTCGCCGTCTACAAAACTATACCACCGCCATCGGACATAGGCATACCATTTACACATCATCTTTTTGCACGAACGAACGATGTATTAGGTCAGCGATCAGTAGAAATCTCAAGGCGAAGGGAAACTCATACCAAAACTCAAAATCACTGAGTATGGATCCTAAGAGATGGGTGTAATGAACACAGTAGAAAGGATTAAACAAGAGAGACTTAGCTGTGCGAAACATTTACCCCTTTAAAACCTTCAGTTTAGAGCAGATGCTTAATATTCAACTAGATGATCGACCAAGTTGGATGTCATGTGGATGCTAGTGAACCTAGAAAATATCAATGACTGATTGCATGAAATTCCCACCCATGCCTTTTATCAATTCCAATACCTGCGGAGACATGAAATAATGGATCACTGGTGGTATTGAGATCGTATCCCTCAAACTACAAAAGATAAATTGGTGAAATGGTTGTCAACATTTCGATGCATGTTAGTAAGTCTCCAGTTGATTTTATATTTAATGCAGGTGAAATCAGTACCACCACTGCAAGAAAGCGTGAATATTACTATCATATGCAAGTAAAATACACTCTGCACGTATAACTTCGAGAACAACGAGAAGCAGATGTTGAATGAGAAGCCTACTGTTGCAGTCTTGTTGTCGGCAAATCCCAATAGCAACATGGGCTGCAAAAAGTTCGTCCACGCAGAAGTGTTTCCATGGCTCTACAATTTTGCCTCGTAGTGCATCCCTAATACAGAATTCATGACTGCTCCTTCGATCTTCGCAAGTACGATTTCGTCTAGAGTTTTGGGGGCTAAGGTCTCCATACGTTAATCTGTGCATTCAACAGAGAAGAATTTCAGGAGCTCAACTCGATCTAGAAGCCAGGATAGTCCATGCATGAAGAATTCGTACAAAATCCTTGCAGAAATGGTTGGACTTGTGCAAACATTATCGAAGGACATGACTGGCCGTCTGCTCAACAATACCAAGTCGTTGCGTGATATATGATCCTTGGACATGAAATTATGTTGTGGGAACTGTGGGGACCGGGATGGAGATTGATTCGTACGATGAAATGGCATAAACGTATCGTCTGGGAGCTCACACCTAGTAGCCTAATGTAATTCGTGAGTGAGGATCTTATTCACACGCAGCAAGGCGAAACATCCGACTCTCTACCAGAACCCTGACGATCGGACAGCACTCCTGCCTAAATGTGCAAATAATTTCTCAGTGGACGAAGATTTAGCTTACGCAGAGCTGATAATGGGCGGACTACATTCTGCTTAGGCTTGCAACCGAACTAAGCCATCCCTCTGTGCTCACAATTTCAAGGCTCTCGTTGGTCAAAGAAACTAACGGAACCATCAATCACCAGATTTTACAGCGACTAAAGTGGTCCAGAACACGAACCTAGCAGAAGCGATTTTTGTAATTTTCCCGACTAGATGTGACTGAGACGTGTGGCACCGTGCCCAACGAAACGTTTGGGCTTCGAATCTGCATCATCGGTCGGCTCTGTGTCGATTCTGTCGATCTTTTCATCTTCCTTCGGAAGAAAAGGGATGCGACTCTGCCACTGTGGAAGATAACCCTATTTCCGAAAAAAAATCTTTTACCGTGGTGAACTGTTGCTTTGAAGCGCTTCGGGGTTTTGTCTGAATCTTTGTTGTCATCCTTTGTTTTTGGTGGAAACCCCATGATGGCGGTTGCACCGTTAGTGTTGGGCTAGGTTGTTCTCAAGTTGGGTTGCTGGGTCTACTATGATTTAGTGCTCAGTCAAGGCTTAGACGGTATTGGATTGAGAAGCTGCTATCGTCTGCTGGTAGGAATATATCATCTGCAACAAATAGTTTGGATCGTAATCTTATGTGCAATCCGTCTTCCAGCTGCTAGGATCCGCTTGATTTCTACTACAATACATGTTTTCATGCCTCTGAATCTCCTACAGTATGAGGGCGCCTGTGAGGTTTTGAATAGTACGATAGTGTGGTTAGCAAGAGCAGCCTGCTTCCGTGTCTCCGTGAGGCAAAATGGTATCCGTTTCGGGTATTTCACTCAAATCAGGTCTCTTATTGATTTTGATAGTGGGTACACTCACTGGCGTTGCCTTGGGGAGAGGAGTAGCCAGTGTAGGCAAAGCTGCAGAGCAATTGCGAGATGATGGTGATGAAATTGGAGCACTTGAAGTCGAAGAACACGAAGTAGGTCCAATTAAAAAAAGCGTAGACGGGGCACGCGATCATGATCATACTCAGCTTCCCAATCACATTAAGGTCTGATTCTCTTAGAGACACTGAGAGTTTGCTGTTTCCTTTCCTGTTACATACTTTGAGATAGTATTGTTGGTGGAACAGTTTGTGGCAGTGTACTTTTTGAGCGCCATTTATTCCCATTTGTCTATACCACTGCGTTCCTTATTTTTTATTTTTTTTCAGTAGCAGTGAGCTTCGCTTCAGAATCCTATCGAAAACTAAAGCTGTTTTTTCAATTTTGATTTTACAGTGCCCACAAACTCTAAAACCCTAACTTCCGTTGGCACTGGATATGAAAATCCACTTTCCAGGGTCTGAATCTCACTCCTGAAAGATTCATCGACGTAATTCCGATCCTAGGATTCGAACATGTTATGGTTGTAGAAGATTACGATTTTGCTAGTAGTCTCTAGAGCATAGCTGCCGGACGTTGAATATTTTGCTAGTTTTTTTTGAAGTTTGATGGATGATGAACTGGGAGTTGTGCATAGATTTCGACATCAATTTCACTTTGTAATGAGCGTTTCATTGCTACTGTTAATTGCCAGCTTATTGTTTCCAAATGATTAGGTACAGGCTCTGATAGAAATTGGTATATGTTCGAGTCACTAGAGCTCTGGTGCTACGTGGGAATTAATCTGACTTGATTTACTTCATAGGTCAAACGAGGAGATGAGGGGAATTTAGTGGCGGAGAATGCATTGAACATCAACTTAAAAGCAAGAGCGACTGGGACGGTCGTAAACAATACAAAGGCAGCTTCCACCAGTAATACTACAATTGGTGTCCCTCCACCAAACAGAAAATTGGTGCCACCACCAATTCCATCAAAAAATAGCTCTGCTGAGTCTTCTCTTTCCACAAATATCACGAATTCATCGATTGCTCAGGAAGCAAGTACAGGTGATGAAACGAAGGCCCCACTGACACATGGGGGAACCTGTAACGCAAAGGATGGACCTTTGGTTGTTAACATGGCGGCTTCGGGTGGGGATGGTGAAGATGGTGAGCATTGAATGTACTTATGGTCTCAATCGTTGGAGGTTTACTCACGTAAAAGTCAACGTCATCGCAGTGGATGTTGTCGTTTGTAAAGTGCGGCATCTTTATGGACTTTTCTGGCCCTTTTTTCCGTTTGCAGGCGATCATGATTACACCTTAACTGTTGAGAATGGTGGTGGCAAACCACAGTTGGATGTAAGCATCAAGGCTTCAACTGGTTTGAAAGCAAATCCAACGAAGTTGCATCTGACCAAAGGAAATCCACTCCCGGTAAGTTCGATAGGTTATCCAGTTGAGGCTCGTCCTCAGTGTTCTGATGAGCATGAATAATTGTGATATTTTCTTTGCCTTAAGCCATGAAACTGAACCCAATAGAGTGTTCGGCTGTAGGTGACTATCTCAGTGGTAGATAAGGAAGCCGCAAAACTTGGAGCAAGAATCAACATAAGCTGGGGTGAAGGAGATTGTCACGTGGAAATTCCTTCTGACAATATTGGAGACAAAACCGCTCATCCGTCATACTTGGCTATCCTGATTGCTCCAGGTCCCTTTGTTCTCGTCCTCGGAGGCGCCTTAATGCTCATTCTTATATTAGGTATGCTCGTCCCTATATGGCCTTAAATCAGATGGTTTGGTCAACCATTATCGTGAATTGGGACCGTATATTAATCAGTGAGTTGAATATTTTGTGTATTATGGAACACGTAAATTTCTAATCGGTTCATTGAGGTGCTGCCAGTGGTGCAGTGTGGTACGAGAGATGGTCTGAAAATCATGAAACCCAAATCAGGGTGGAGTCTCAGTGAGTCTTGTTACGTGCATTTGGTCCTTTAGAGAAGGTGGTCTGGGCTTAGTGCAATTCGATTGAAATTCGATACCAAATATCAATGCTTGAGGAAGAGATTTACTGTTGTTGTGACATCTTTAACCGAGTTCTCACGATCGTGCTACCTGCAACTACCAGCAATAGCGGTTGTATGGGGATGTATTACATGGCGTGCCCAGATCCAACGGCACGATGGCGCGGAGACGAAGTACCAGGAACTGGAGATGACCTTACCAACAGCAGTCACGAAACAGGAAGATGGAACTTCTCCATCAGCCGATGGCTGGGACGAAGTATGGGAAGACGATGACTGGCAAGACACAGAAGCCTTCCGGTCTTCTTCTACATCCCTCACTCTCTCTTCCAAAGGACTGAACTCTCGACGAGCGAACAAGGACGGTTGGGATAGTAGCTGGGACGACTGACTGCAGCAGTGTACCCACATCAAAGCCAGAGAGATGGAGAGCAGGAGAGCATTTTTTTTTTTCTTTTTAGTGTATTTTCCTGTGTGAGTCCTCTCGTCTGCAGGCATCCGGCTACAAATGGGATCTCTTGTTATCGATTCCTCTCTTCTGCAATCGGGTTGTATTCTTTTTAATAGTGTAAGCATTTTGCGTTGAGATGGATGTCCAGCCTGCAGCCAAGTTCTACAAGGTTGCACTTGTTGAACAAAGTTCTATAACCTCGCATGCCATGCAACTTCGTGGTGACGGGTATCTTGGTATCATTTGTGTTGCTATTTCTGCCACTGCTGCTGTAGTAGCTCTAACATGATTATGTTTATAAATTATGTTTAAAAGTAATCATCTACCTCATTAGAGCTTTGATAGCATATTCACTAACTTATCTTTGAATTCTTAAGAAAAGATCTCTCTTAGCACTCAGTTTGTGTAACCAATTTTAGCTCTCTTATCCAAAGTTTGATGGAGATCTTGGGCTGTAGCGGTTGATAAAGCAAAAGATGATTTCTTCAGCATCTAGAGACATATCCTTCGAGGATCGGTATTCCGCTTCTGGTATCATATGCACGGCCAAGTTGTAAGTATTTCAACCTAGTTGGTTTGCCACTAATTGCGAACAATTTGATTCTGTCTATATGCAAGATTTTTTGTGCCTACAACAAATATTTCTGCTAGGGATCTTTGACGCCTTATGCAGGGCTTCTAGTTTCACGATTCAAAGGACGATTTTTGAATCATTCAAGCTACCGACCTTCAACCTGCAAGCTCAAATTTCCGTGACGAGTGAGGTCAAAAGTTAAAGAATACTGCAAATTTCTGCTGGTAACTGAGCCAGATGGAGAAGGAATCACCAAGTCCGTGAAGAGATTACACGCTCTCCGACAAAGCAGCAAGTCCAGGGATTTATTTCACGATTGTAGGATCCCAAAACCTTAACCCTAAACAATCAAACCCTAAACTTGGTTCTGTCGTTGGATGGATGGGGAAGAGTATCTCAGGTGTTGTTTATGCTTAAAGCAATCATAAGTAAATCTTTTTTTTAAAGTCCTTTTATAGAAGGCTTGTCTGCTAATTTGCACCCATTCTAAACCCATGTCAAAAGGCATTTTCTGAATGCAGCTGCACACCGTTAGTGCACTTTTTCTTTTATGTTTCTATTCATTAGCATACCTTAATGATCATGCACATTTTTTACAAAGTGAATGAAATGTGTTGACTCAATATTTACACATTGTGTCACTATCTATCATTTACATGAGAGTAATGTTTGTATTTTCATTAGAGGCAAGATACTAGGAACTTAAAATGGATTAATAGGAGTTTCTATGTTGTTTTATGATAAAATGTAATGGATAGATACCCTTCTAATAAATTCAAACATTCTTGTTTAAAAAATATGATATTGTATTTCATATTTCATTCAATTTGTAAAGTTTTATTTTACTCCTAAATAAGTTACAAGTTGTAATTCTCTAAATGACCCTTGGTATAAGATTTTGATATGTTTTCAATGTGTATTGGATTTCGTTTTTAAAAACTTAAAAAGTTCAGCTGATGTACATGAAATTTTAAATACTAGTGTTTTGTAAACTAACATATGTATGTTTCATGATATATATATATATATATATATATATATATATATAAAGATTTTTACAAATTGCAAGAAATATTTTGTTTGGAACAATGATATTTTGGTACTCCTCCTAGGACATTTTGGTGGTGATTTTCATTAGAGCAATAGCCCAGGGGTTGGATAATTTTTAGAAGTATGAGATTGTATTTTACTATACACATATGATATATATATTTCAAATTTGATTTTTGTAAAAAGACATGATTATTCTATGAACATGATTATTCATAACAAATCTAATCCATGTTTATAATAACAAGTATTATTACCCCAAGCAAAAAGGGAATATGTTTGTTTCAAATGAGCTTTTTTTGTAAGATTCATATAAATATAAATTCAAATATATAATTATATAAATTTATATTATTTATTTCTATATTTTAAAAAATTATGCAATTATTATAAATAAGTAAAAATAGCATGATGTTAATGCAAAAGTAAATTTTGAAAATATTTTTAAATTTTATAATGTTATAAAATAATAATAATAATAATAATAATAATACATCTACCAAAATAAAGAATAGTACTTGATAATATTACATTTAATCTTATTAAATAGAAAAAGGTCTAAAGTATAATTCTTCAATGTACAAATTGACAAGTATGTGCAAAAACAATTAAGAAATGAAAGATAAAGAAAAAGAAAAAACATATGTAGAACAAATTTTAACCAAAGGATCATGACAAGACACAAAAATACATTCAGACTACAAAACAATTGAAGTATAAGATAGGAGGCGACAATTTTGGTTGATTCATTCATTTATGTTCTAATAATAACTTGTAATGATTTTATTGTTTTACCTTTTGTCTAAATTTACAAAAGAATGTTACAAGAGGTTCTTATAACAATTTGAAAGGTGTACAAAATAGATATTAATATTTAAAGAGTATTTGTGAGAATCAATCATAATTAATGCATACAATATTTTACAAGTCTTATCATAAAACAGAATATTTGTATTGGAATAAAATTGAATCATGATGACAACCATACTTTATAATGCATTATTAAAAAGTTTTTTTTGCATTAATTTATGTACTTTACATGTTACAACTTCTACTTCCTAATAACTTCAGCTATCTTATTTATCTTTAAAGAGTGAAATTATCCTTGTATTTAAAGTGTAACAATAACATTACTTAATTCTACAATCCAACCACACTCAATAGCATAAGCACCTCCACCATCCTATATCCATAATGACTATATTACCACCCTTGGTTAGTATATGATCAGCCTTGGAAGAGTGTTACTACTAATACTAGAATACTACAAAAGGATTGTTATAAAATTTAACAGTTTTTTTTTTTTTTTTTTTTTTTTTTCTATATTAATGAAATACAATATATAAGCAATTCTTCAATACTCGATATCTACATAGTGATGCCTTCAACCAAACTCTAATTTTAATTGCAATTGAAATATGCATTAACATGTATCAAAAAATCTATTTATTTTTTTTTGTCAAGTTTTTAATTTGGTGATTGATATGAATATGTTTTTAGTACAATTGCTTACATTGAATTCAGATCTATTTGTGATTTTTTTTTCACATCAAAGTTAGAAGTGTTTATAATTGAAATCTTGAATAAAACTCGAAACAAGAAAAATGAAAAGGGAATAAAACTGTATTACTTATCCAATCAGTTTTAAGTTGTAATCTGTCTTTGAATGCGAATGAATATTAGGTGTGTGTACATATATATATATATATATATATATATGTAGTCATACCTGCATGTACATGGTAATATATTCTTATAATTGCTGAAGTATAAATATTTTCATTTTTCACTTGATAGACATGAACTTTGATGGCAAACTTTTTATTTGCAAATAAAAAATATGATTATTTATTTCCTAATAATAATGCAATATGGAGAGGAGACATGAAGTGTTATACTATATATTTTGATTTTGCTTAAAACTGGTATGATTGTAGTTGGATTTGAAAATCTCATTCTACTTTTTTGAAACTGTAATGTATTTCTTCAACACAGACGGAAAAACATTAAGTTCCAGAGACTACTACCATGGCAAAGAAAGTCCAAAAGTATTAGAATAGACAAGGGCTACAAAACCCTAAAAGGCTTTAAAAAGAGGCGCCTGGAAAAGACATATATGAAGGCATTAATAGGACTTGGGGCAATTTTGTGTGATGGAATCCACAAGGGAAACATTCAAGGAAATTGAATCAACTCAACTGAGGATCCAAGACCAACAATTCCTGCATGCCAAGACATAACAAAGCACAGCTTCCAATCAAACCCTAATTTAGTCATTGGCATTGCTTGCAAATGTGCTACAACTGTAGAACTCTGCATTAAACTTTGTCATGTAAAATGTGAGCTGATGATCATGTTTGGGTGGATGCCATTGTGGAACTAATAAGCCTCCACCAAAGCAGGACGAAGTCCTAAAATTGGTGAGAGAAATGTGGGTAAAGTGGTGTGCACTATTTCAAGGTTTAGAGGGCCTCAAAGTGTTGCATTATCTGAGACCTATGGAGGGTTAACTAAGTCCACAACAACCACAACCCTGATTTGGAAGTCTCCAATTATGGATCTGTAACATTATGGAATCGTAGTGTTTGTGGGTTTTGCTTTAAAAGGCCCATTGACGAATGGAATGCAGGTAAAAAGAATGCTTCAATGTTGCTGATAAGACCAATACACGGGTACAGTGAACAGTGCTTTGGTAACAAACAATTTTGTTTCATTGCAACAGTTTTTTTGTGGACTTTTTGTGTCAATAAATGCACAACCAGGTCACAAAGTTCTAATTAATAGAGACACAGAAGCTTCCATTTTGCCACTGCTCCACCAGAGTATTATGAGAGCATTAACTGCAATCCATTGATTGTGTATCTAAAAATAACCTAAAAAAGGACCCATGTGCTTGATTCACTTAAAGATGTGCACTCTTTTGTTTTGTGGAGACAAGTAATGAGGCATTATCACAGTATGAGAATGTTGTGTAGCATTCATATTATTTGATGAATGACATTAATATATGGATTTATTTTTATGCGAAGAATCTATTGTTTATTTGTATTGTGTTGTTTATATTACTCATGCATTGGGACTAAAAACATGATTTGATTTAACTGGTTTATGGTATCAAAACTTGTAAACCATGTTGCATTCCACTTAATTCTAAATCCATGGGCATTAGGAAATTTTTCTTAGGAATTTAGCTTTGTAGTTTGCACATGCAATTTTGCAAAGACAAAAATATTACAGGTTCTATCTTTTTCTTTTCTTTAAAAAAAAATAAAAAAATGTTTCTTAACAAAAAATAGACTGAGCTTTTTTGAAAAAATTCCTCTCATGCACTTATATATATATATATATATATATATATATATATATGGAGTCAGTTTGAATAACCAAATTAAAAATTTAACTTTCATTCCCTTTTACATTAGGGGAACATTAATGAAAGAATATGTCATAGAGTGGTAGAAGTAAACAGTATTCATACTTTCCCTTCACACAGTCATGATGGTATATGGATCCAGATCACCTCCTGAGAAAACATTAACATGTGGGTGGACTTTTTTTTTATTACATATTTGTATGTTTGTTTTCTTTTTCATCAAATGTCTTTTGATCATATATTATCCCTTCAAAACAGCTGCAACTTTTCATCAACTAAATTGTCGTGTTTCTTTCCTTTACACATAATAATGTTTTTTTATTGTATTCATATATAGAAAAAGAAGAAGTAAAGCAACTTTCACAGAATTTATGGTGTGATTTTGGAAAAGTAAAAATAAACTCAACCTATTTTCTATAAAAAGTCGCTATTGTTCAATGTAGTGAATCATTGTACATCAATAAATAGTTGTCAACATATAATATATCAAGCGATATAAAACAATTCAAATTTTCAATCCAAAAGGGTAGAACGTTGAACAAAGAGCATATCGGAGGACAGGTGAAAGGAAATACATACATAAATACACACACACACATGACAACATGATTTTGCAGCTATTACTGTGAGGTGTTGTCATGGAAAAATGCAAGTCATTGTTGCACATCCGTCTTTTAACTTTCCATGTTTATTTATACTCGACATGGGTAGAAAAGCAGTGCAGAAGCAGCTCTTAGTGCTCCTACAATGACAAACTCTTCTTCCTCCGCAGAGCCACCTAACCTCACAAGGAAAAGCCCACTCTGGGCAGGTGAAGGAGAAGGAGAAGAAGAGAACCCACAAAAGGGGCAGCCCTCGGACATCTTGCCCTTGTTCATACATTGTCGGCACGAGGGGTAAAGGTGTCAGTTTTAAGGGGAATTCACCCAGGAAAAGGAAATAAGGAGAAAGGAAAACGGCAAACGTAGGGAAGGGGAAGGAAGGGGAATGTGGTTGAGTGAGTGTGTGTGTGGGGGTGTATGTGTCAGAGTGAGAGAAAGATTCAGGGGCTGGGCGAGCCAGTGAGTGAAGGGGGAGCTGGGGCCCCACTGTGGCCGCATGAGGCCCCAGCCAAGCAGTGAGTGGCCTGGGGGCACAGAGTGGGGAATGATTGGGCTCTCGCTGCTGCTGCTTGCTGTGCCCATTCACTCGTAATTCGTTTGCTGCTGTTGTTCTCGGCATGCCTGATTCATTAGGGTTGCTGCTGCGTCGCAACCCATTGCCCACCGCCTTTACTGTACGTTGCTGCGGGAGGGAGGATCAGCGCCGGATGCTTGTGCAAACGAGAGCTCGGTGATTATGGGAGTTAGTTATTGTCGTTGTTGTTGTCAGGAGCTGAATAGTTAGCTGACATCGTCGTTCAGTGAATCTCTCTGCCGGGGTCGGCGTAATCTATGGGCGACGAGAGGATGTGACTGTTGACCAGAGTGGAACGAGTGGAGTGAGCGGAGCAAGTGGGTTCGGGGTGCACAGATGCGAGGATTGTAGCTAGAGGCGAAGAGCTAGAATTCGGCGTGGCAAGGGGAGAGAGGTGGTCAATTCGAAATGGTGACGAGGAGGGCAGTGAGCACGGTTTCTTTCGCGTGGAGTGCCATTCGGTTTTTGGTATTATGGTCGTGAGATCTGCGCTTGGGTGCGTTAGGGTGGGGAGATTGCACGCCGTGGACCCTAGACCGTCTCACCTACAGCTTCGTAAGCTTCTTGGGCTTTTGTGTCAGTTTGATGCTTGTGATTTCCAGAAGAGGAACACTATCACAGTGAATTAGTTTGATTTTTGATTTCTTATTGGGGTTCTCCTCAACCGCTGGATATGATGTCTCGCTCGGAATCTGCGGCATTGTGGGGCCTGAACTTTAGCTTTAGCTACCCCTGTGGACGTTTCTCGCCGGCTTTACTTGAAGTTGAGGATTGTAGGAGTGATTTGTACCGTTTCTGGGGGATTTGTCAGCTGTAGTGTGCTGGTTGGAACGCACTTGAAATGTGTTGAGAATGTGACATTTGAATCTTTTTTCTAGTCGGGTGTTTTTCTTGGAAAGATGAGGGTTAGCGTATGAGCGTGTATTCAATAGCAGGATTTAGTGTTTTTGAGTCAATTAAGTCCACTTGTGTAGAAGAAGGTTCAGCTGCTTTATTTTATTTTATTTTATTTTAGGAAATTTTATCTCCTTACTTCCTTCCTTCCTTTTTGTTGTTGTTGGGCTGCTGTGTACCATTGTACCGCAGAATTTAATTCTGAAGAAAGATTTTTTTTTTTTTTTTTTTTTTTTTTTTTTTTTTACTTCTGTGTAGATCTCTAATATGTAAAAGGGCAATCACATTGCGGTAATTCACATTGCGGTAATTCTTTTTGCGCATGATTGGGAGACCAGAGTAACCCTCCTTCGTACTATCCTTGAACATTCATGAAAACAACAATGAAATTCTAGATTTTTCAGATGACAGTCTCAGGTTGCAATTAAGACTTGGGTCACGGTTCAACTGCCATAATCCCTACCAAGCATGTCGCACCTTGAGGTTGGGTATCTAACATGAAGTAATGCCGATCCTATTTTCGAACCCCACAGTTTACAACTGAGTTAGAGTGCTGTGCAGTTCAACATGGACACGAGCCCAAGGACATGTGTGCCCCGCGTAGATCGGTGGCTGGGCCTCTCTTCCAATATGGTCATTATGGTAAGCATCAAATACTACCGAAGTGAGTAGAGGCGGCCATTTTCCACTTCCCATGAATCGTAAAACGATTCAGTCTTTGGAAATTGGTCATGTGACGTGTGTCATTCCGATGAAGAAACTTTGAGTAACTAGATGTACTTTGAATGCCAAATGGAGAAATGGGGGTCTCAAATGGGGAAATGGTAATGAAGTCTTGCAATATAATTCTAAGTTGGTAGACATGCAAGCTACTTTTGGGTCTAATAATCCCTTTCCTTTGTTAGGCATGCGGTGGCCTCACATACACATACGCAGTTTATAGCGGGCATATGAAGGATGTGCTCCACTATACACAAGAGCAAACGGACGATGTCGGAGCTGCAAAGGACTTTGGTTCCATTCTAGGGCTTCTTTCCGGGTTTTTCTTCAACTATTATCCACCTTGGGTCACCATCTACATCGGCTCATTCATTCATTTATTTGGATATAGCATGGTATTGTTTCTTCGTTCGAATGGCAACTTAGGCATGAATGTACTCAAGAGTTGGTTAGATATTGCACATTCAATTCAATCAATGCAGTCACGATTGTTCATTTTCTTTGACGGATGCAATATTTTAGTAGTTTTGTCGGTCAATACCCTAAAGATCATGACCTTGTATTCAGGTTTGGATGACTCTTGTTGGAACCGTGTCGCCTTCATTCTGGCTTGTAAGTGTTGTCCCCGTCCTGAGTTTGGGTCTGTCCTCTTATCCTATGGTAACCAGACGTCTTATAAACATGAATCGATTCTTTCATAATTATGATGTTGGGTGCGTTATACATACGAAGTATTCTTTTTGTGAGAGCGAGTACTTGATCAGAAAACTAATCAATGAACGATGCATGTTGATTTGGAAAGGTAGCTGTGTACATATTTTACTCTTGGTGTGGGCGGGGACAGCTACATAGATACTGGTTGCATCATAACAACGTAAGCAACCTACCATGTTTTTAGATGATCTGGAGTTTGTGTCTAGATTAGTGCTGTCAAGTATATGCATGCGATCATTACTAGAAAATGAGAGGTGTTGAAATGGCGTTTGAGATCACAATACGCGCTTCGAAGTTCGTAGATAAAATAATTTCATTTCAGGCCTAACATCGAGGACGCAAAAGAAATTTCCGAAATGGATATCCTTGCCGTTGTATCAGAAAGAGTAGCCGTTTGCAAATCTCATGATAAGCTGCATTAACGGGGTGTTTTAGTTATTTGAGAATCTTTGGCCTTTTGCCAAGTGTTTTTTGTTCATCTAATAGTGTGTATACTTGTGCAGCTTAGAAAGCTTCGGAGATAATCGAGGGACAGCAATGGGATTGCTAAAAGCACAAGTGGGACTGAGTGGCGCCATATTTGTCCTGGTACGTCTCATATGATCGAAGGTGCTTGAGTGGCACAAAGATGTATATATCACTTCTTTCTGTAGAAAATATTGTTTTGATGTTAATGCAACTTTATACTATGCATCGAATTAATCGTTCGTATGGTGATCGAATATGTTCAATGTATCCAGATTTATGAGGTCTTTATTGAGCCGGATGTAAATCGGTTTATTCTTTTGGTTGCGCTTGCGCCATCAATCGCTGGCTTCGCTCTCGCATTCTTAACAAGAACTTTCCCTCCTGAATATCAAGACGAAGATGCTGAGGATATCAGACAACGGTTTCGTTTGACTTACGTTTGTACCCATGCCTTGGTTCCTGAATTGTATCAAATTTTCTATTTTTTGAAAATCTTTTTGCACCTTGATTCCTTTGCAGTTTTTAGATAAGCCTCAATAAAATGCGGTTTTATTTTTGTTCTGAGCGCAGGGTGTTTTGATTGCTCTCGGAGTATTTCTTATGATCGTTATTACCATCAAGGCAATCATCTACCCTCACCACTTTAAATATTATTTCCTAATAATGTATTTCCCAGTGCACAAGGTCCATGTTTCTTGCTAGTTACCAGTTTCGGCTCTTGAAAGTATGGCCTAGCAGACAATTTGAAGATTGTTGAAGGGCAAAACTCTCAAGTCTCTCACACTAAAAAGTCTGCCTCGACAGGAACTTTTAGATCCAGGAAGATCTGTGCTTGCGTTCTTCTTAATAATCATGCTTATGTTTGCCTCGGCCATGTTCACCATGCCGGTACGTAATATCATCCTCGTCTGGGCTCAACGTTCTGTTTATCTGCTTTGTCTGACGTCTGAAGGTGCACAATCGTTAGTAGTAAATATCAGTCAATTCTAAATTTTCAGAATAATCGATGTAAGTTTGTGCATAAGCTGTTTGAGATTCATGTTGTTTAATCTTCGTCTAAACCACTCTTTACTTGTGCTTTTGGTAACAGCTTATACGAAGACCAGTGGAGTTTTTCTCTTCTTATATAAGCCCCTGCGACGAAACTGAGGATGTTGTAGAAGGGATCAGTCTAAGAGAATTCTCGAGACGACCATATCGTTACAAGAAGAAACCCTTCCGACCTGAGCTCGAGGACATCCATGAGGAGGAAGAGTCAGCTGCTTTAAAGAGCTCATCTGAAGCTGAAAGTGATGATGACATCGTGGTCTTCAAAGCGGGAAGAGATGACACCATTGACTTAGAGGAACTCCTTGAACCCACTTTGAGGTCTAGCCTGCTAGGCATTGATTTCTGGTGAGAGCTCTCAACTCAGAATTGGACCGCTGGTGTCATGAAAATTCTTACCACAACCGAGCATTTTGTCATCATTCATAAAAGATTCAATCGGTGTTCTTGATTTCAACTCAGAGGACACAGAAATTCTGGTTGAGTTCTGCAGGTTGATAACGGCAGTGATCATGGTTGGTGGCGGCACTGGCCTTGCCATCATCAACAACTTTGCCCAGGTGCTCGTCTGCCCACAACCTTGAAAACTCTAGATTGTGGTCGCTTGTGCTTTCTACATGTCACTCGTAGTTTGAAGCAACTCTGTCACAATGGGTTTGAGCGATCATGCTAAAGTTGCCTCTTAACTCCTATAACAGATTGGACAGGCACTAGGAAACGGTGAGGCGGATGTATATGTGGGCCTCATCAGTGTTTGGAGCTGCTTTGGCCGTCTGCTGGGAGGGTATTGCTTACAACCACCCAAGCTTTACTTTTGAGAATCTCTTAGCATTATGTTGTCTGGAGTCTGTTGTCTGGAGTCGCTTCTATTGTTCATATACTTGATTATTATTTTAAAGTGAGGATACGTTCCTTGAATCTACAGCAACCACAAGGTATAGGAATGACGTTGAACCTTTGAATGGACGTATGTTTTTACTAAGTTCTTTTTGTATGTGGTGCAGGTACGGGTCGGATTTTCTCTTAAAGAGGGGATACCCAAGACCAATCTGTTTGCTAATGGCACAGCTCCTCATGAGCACTTGCTGCGTTCTCCTCTCAACAGGCTGTGAGTTAGCATTCGCTTATACTTCTAATTACAGAACGTGTTTCTAAGTTTTGATGGTAACGAATATAATCTTGGCATATAATGTAGACAATTAATTCCCCTCTTTCCTAATACCAGTCATTGCCATTATACTTCTTTATGCAGGGGTACCATTTCTATACGTTGGTTCTTGTATGGTGGGCATGGCTTATGGCTCCCACTGGAGTATCCAACCTCCTATTCTCGCTGAAGTTTTCGGTCTTCCACATTTCCCAACTTTGTACAAGATAAACTCGTAAGTTCAATCCTCCCCTACTATCCTCGATTAATTCTGTGCATCAAACTCCAACCTGTTGTCATGTCAGCAAGCTATAACAGTTCAGCTCACGTAATTCCTCACGCCACCATCGTGCAGTTGTGCTGCTCCTATTGGCGCCTACTTGCTGTCTGCCAAGGTAGTCGGTGTTTTATACGACAAGCAAGCCACCCTCTTCAAAAGCCAGGCCGTGAATCTTGTGGCGGAGAACACATGCTTAGGCACACAGTGCTTTGGATCGTCCCTTCTCGTTCTGGCTTTTTTGTGTGCTCTCAGTGCCATTCTCAACTTCTGGTTCATGATACGCACTCGTTCATACTACGACCAACAGCAGCCATCGCCTCCAAGTAGAGTACACGTTCAAGTTGATTAATTGAATGCCACAGTTCAAACTCCTAACCCATAGCAATATTTTGATAACATTGAGCTTTCAAGTGGTATGCGCAAGATCGCACAAGTATGAGAGTCATTTCCCCTTCTTGTGAATTAACAATTTCTAACCTTTTTGTAGCTTAAGTAGATGTTCTGTCTCCAACTACAGAAACCAGAACCTAGCAGTATTAGATCCAGTGCATTGATTGGACCTTTTGGAATGAGGTTCTGGGATCCAAAGGGTCCAATTTCTGTTCATCCTTGGACACAACGGTGAGTCCAGTATATATATGGCCTCCAGGTTTAGTCAAAAACCTGTGTGTCTGCTAGCTTGTAGAGCTCTATGTATCAGTAATAGTAATTACTAGCAATTTGGAAGTCTGTAGAATTTCTAGTAACGAGAAGTTTATCAAAGCTTCAAAGAAATACCAGCATTTCAAAACGCTTTACATTTCAAAGCGACTAGTGTGTGTGAAATCTGTTTTGATTCCAACGTTGCACTATATGGTGTGTTTTTGGTGTTCCCTCTGTACTTTTTAATCTTGTTATGAATTATTCGAACTTGTGCAATTTTTTAGATGCAAATGGGAGAAATGAGATCTTTTTATTAACAGTGTGAATTGAAAACTTTCAGAGCTTATGATTGCTTGAAATCTAGAAATTCCACCTTGTTGGCTTTATATGTGGGAAAATCAGCAACAATTAGAGAGAAAGAAGAGGTGGAATACATTTTTTCATAAATATGGCATGCACAGTGTTGTCGTCCAAGAAAATTGTAGCGAACCCATCCCAAAAAGGTGGTTTGTTCTAAAATTTGAGAAAATACACTAACGGGGAAATTTTCTTCATCAAGACTGATTTTATATCATGACTGTACACAGAATGGATTTTTACTTCCAAACAATCCCTAAATTATACCAAAATCAAAGATAATTACACGTTAGCTGTGAAATGGTGCATGATATCTGGCAGCAAAGTGCGAATCCGAAGCGTTCGCCAAAATTACTGTGGCTGCCGTCCAGACTGAACAAGCAAGAAGAAGCTCCTTCATCCCCAATTTCCATTTCGTCCACTTCTCAATCTCCATATAAGAACACTCTGTTTCGCCTCCATCATCATCGCCGAGTATAGTTCCCTCTTCGCCGTACCCAGTTGCCTTTGGTACCCTTAGCTTCTTCTACTCAACCTAGATACGTACCCTAGTTACTGAAAGGTCTGTATCTCATCACCTTGTTTTTCTTTTCTGTGAACTTGGGATACAGATGTGGCTTTACTAGTGTTACTATGGCCTTTTTTTTTTTTTTTTTTTTTTTTTTTTTTTTTCGCTGCAGTGTGTTTGTTGTGATACCTTGCGAGTAGCATATCAGGCAGCCTGCTACGCATGTCATTGTGTAAGCATGGTGTCCTGGTACCCGCAGAGTAATAACTCAGACTGTGAGGCATATCTCTTCCTGTGAGATTTGCCGCGTATGTTGAGCGCACATCTTTGTACATTCCTCAAGTTTCTTACTGTGAAGAGCTACCCAAAAGCCCGCTACATATCTACGTTCATGAACATAGCCTCTATGCGAATTACAATTTACGTGCAAGCTAAACCAATCCAATGTTGTAAACTAAATACACGAACGCGGACATATCCCTTCACACTGGACACCGTGATACAAGCGAATGTCCGACTGTGAAGCATTAAAATGAATACTTGAATATAGATTATAACTTGATTATAACTTCACTATTACCAATCTACTCCCCAGTGGTTGAAGTCGAAAGGACCTACTGGTGTTCCAGAACCAGCCAGACATTAGTTCTGAATCTAACGCTTAGAATACCCTCAATGCAATCCATTGTGACATTAACATTAGTGTACAATCCAACCTGCATCAATGACAATGTTCAGAACCTGAGGGCTGTCAGAGGTTATATAGTTTACATTTCAGTGAGGGGTGTTTCTACTCCCTGGATATGCATGATGTTTGCGATCATCAAAACCATCTAAAGCTACGAAGTTGAGTACATATGGTGAAACCAATCGATTAGTTCTTGTGAAAAAGATGTGCAAAACCTACTTTTGTTACCAGTAGAAATAAAAACACGAGTGTTAAGTGATGTGATGAGACATGGTTACAACGTACGTAGCGACATCACATTCGGCCTAATAATGTGTCTTTGTGCGAGGTTTGTTTGAAAGGATAAATATTCATCTACGGATGAACGCTTGTAGATCCTAGTGTAAAATACTAATCCAACAGTTTTCATCTTCGCAGAAGAATGGTTGCTGCTTCCACTGACAGTTGGACTCAGGGTCTCCCGCTTACTAAACGGGTGCTCTAGCCAGCTGAGCTGTAGAAGCTGTGGAGAAGTGGCATATTAATCCCATATCGTGGTAGTTGTTATTGCTTGGCAAACGCTCTATCATCTGAGCCATATCCCCTGGTCGCCGCCCCCCATCGGAAGACTCATCGTCACCCGGATGTCCGATTCATCGCCTTTCCTACCCTAGTATACTTTGTTAATTTACACATTGATTCCACCAACATGATGCATATTGAACTTGTCACTCGAAGGTGAATAAAAAAAAAACTGTTGAGAATGTTTAGAAAGACATAAGAGTAATAGTAAGTAATACACACACACAAGAGTAGTAGTAAGTCATAAACACAAGAGGGTTTCTAAGGAGAGAGAGCTTCAGACATAAAATTCTATTGATTTGGTTGTGTCTCGTATACAAGAAGAAAAAAGGGGAGAGGATAAATAGTACTTCTCCACTAGACTCTAAATACTGTAGCTATGGTATTTACTATAGTCTACAGTAAATATTATGAACAACACCGGCTACATTTAATGATCTCAACACTCTTCTTCGCTCATCATAATATTTACATAATATAAAATTTGTATAGAATTATGATCTATACTTTTCTGTGATCTTACAAGATCAAAAATTATTGCCTCATTAAAACCTTATCTAGGAAAATCTTATTGTATTTAAGGACAAAACCATAGATGATGGAAAAAGAGTACAACATCATTTTTTTTAATTATTTAAAGAGCTCATTAACTTTCTTATTCAAGAAAAGCAAGTCGTCGCATACCAATGCCATAAGTAAGTCAACGATGGTTGTACAATGGAAGAGCTTTGGTGAAGAGATCAGCAAGGTTATTTGTAGATTCAATTTTTTTAATTATAAGTCCTTGATCAGTAATCAAGTCATGGATATAACTAAAATACTTTGGATCAATATGCTTTGTCCTATCGCCTTTAATGAAACCAACTTACATCTGTACAATACAAGCACTATTATCTTCATGCAAGATAGTTAGAGAATCATCATATGAAAATCAACAAGTTGTTTGAATGAATTTATCGATTGATCGCAAGCAAATACATTCTCGAGATGCTTCATGTAAGGCAATAATTTCTACATGGTTGGATGAAGTTGCAATTATTGTTTGTTTCATTGATTTCTATGATATTGCATCTCCATGTTTTAAAAATACATATCTTGTTTGAAATTTAGCTGTTGCACAATGAGATTTATATCTTGCATCATAATATCCAACCAATTTTGGATCAGCAGATTGTATATAGTATAATCTCAAGTCTTCAGTACCTTTTAAATAATGTAATAAATATTTGATGCCATTTCAATGTCGTAGTATTGGACGTGCACTATGTCTTGCAAGAACTCTAACTGCAAATGCAATATCTGATCTTGTAAATGTAATTAAATACAAAAGTGCTCCAACCGTTGCGAGCTATGGATATTGATCTCCCAATATTTCTTCATCCTCCTCACATGGACGGTATGGATCATGACCATCATGACCACATCCAACTATTGGTGTGGACAACAGATAAGGATCAATCATATTAAATCTTTACAAGATTCGTCTAATATATGTTAATTGGTAGAGAAAAATGCTACCATCTGTTAGATGCATAATCTGAAGATCAATGCAAAAAGTTGTTTTTCCTAGCATTTTCATCTCAAATTCATGTATAAGTAGGTTAGTAGCTATAATACATGCAGATGTAGTGCCCACTAGGTTAAGATCATCAACATATACAGTGATGATCACAAAACCAGTTTTATCTCGTTTGATAAACAAACAAGGGATTAGTGGATCCCTTATAAAATTATTTATAATTAAATAATCTCAAAGACGTTGATACCACATGCGTTTGGATTATTTTAAACCATACAAGGGCTTACATAATTTAATACCACGATATTGTCCTGGAGCAGGTCTATTTAGAGTTCTTGTTTCTAAGCGAAGTGGAACTTTCATATAAATATTTACATCAAGAGAACTATATAGATATGCAGTTATTACATCCATCAGAAGTATCTCAAGGGTGGCATGAACTATCATTCCAATAATATATCAAAATGTAATTGAATCCATGATTGGAGAATATGTGGATTTATAATCAATGCCAAAACTATGAGTAAATCCTTGAGCAACAAGATGAGCTTTATAGCGGGTTATTTGACCTTGAGCATCTTGCTTGTGCATTAATACCATCTTATATCCCACAGGGCGAGATGTAAGAGTGTCTACAATTGGACCAAAGACTTTTTTCTTATACAAAGAGGCATACTCCTCTTCAATAGTAGTTTTTTATTTTGACCAATCAGAGCGACGTATCGCCTCCTCGATCGTTTGAGGTTCAAGATCATCTTCCTCACAAGAAAGGGCTTCTATAATCATATATGTAAATGATTCATCTACTATAATAGATGGTTTTTCCCAAATATCATCTGTAGTATAATACAGAATAGATAATTCTTTCTTGTTCTTATTCTTTCCAATTCCAAGATTATTTTTCATAGGAATTGAAGGTACATTATTCATGGATATATCATCATGAATTGGTAGTCCTGTGGGATGAGTGGAAATTTCTTGAGAAATAATACTAAGATCAGTTAATATTATACCTTTCTTCTTATGTGGTTGCTTATCTGGTCCACAAGTTCTTTTAGTTGTTATTATAACTTGAGGTATTCTAATCAATGGCACTGCAATCTGAGCAGGTGCATTCTAAGCCTCATTAATAGAAATTCTTATAATTCTAGATACATCATTGAAGTCATTAGGTGTTTCATCTGCTATCCATTTTAGATGCAAAATCTTAGTAACTTCAGTTTCTGCCAAAGATGTCCTAGGATCGGGATTCATTGTAAACGTTTTTGGTGCTTCAAATATGAGTACTTTATTTCTTTATTGATTGGATACTCCTCCTTGAAGAGATGAGAATACATTTTCTTCAAAACGATAATTTTTGCAAACGTGCACATAATAATGTGCCAGTTGATAGATCAACAATATGAATAATGCTTGGTGGATCAAAACCAACATATATGTTCAGAATTATAAATGATTCTGCGAGTCTATTTTGAGCATGTTCATATGGAACACAATATGTCAACTCAATTCCTGTTGCAGTACAATAGTCTTCAAAAGACTTTGATGCAAATTCTTTTACATTATCCATACGAAATATTTTATTTGGGAGAAAATCACAAAAATGTGCCCAAAAACAAATAAGCATAAATATAAGATCGGCAAACACCATGTTTTGAGTTGATAATAATGAAACATGTGATTGTTTACCTTATGCATCAACAAGGACCAAAAAATAATGAAATGGTCCTGATATTGGATTAATAAGACTACAAATATCACCATGCAATCTTTCAAGTATTGGTTGTAATTCTTGTGGAAGTTTCCAAATTAAAGACCGAATAATCATTTTACCTTGCATGCATGCTTGACATAATTCCATAGAATCTATATCTACAGACTTTAAATTATGCCCAGTTATACATGGAATGATCTTTCTAAATAATGTGGATCTTGGATGTTCCAATCGTCCATGCCAGAGAAAAACACGACTCTTTGTGATAGATGATGTAAAATTAAATATAATGGGAGGTCGATTCTTAATTCAGTATAAACTATTTTGTGTAGCAAAAGCTTTTTCAACAACTTTATGGTTCTTCATAAGAACCAAAACCTCTTTTTTATTTAAAATGACAGATGAAAGGTAATAACCATTAATATGCACATCTCGGTAGCTAATCAAATTCCGAGGTAGTGAGGATGCAAACATTACATATTTACATTTTATGATGGAACCTGCATGTAATTTTACCATTGCTGTGCCCTCTTAGAAACAAAATGCATTTTCTCCAGCCATGGTCATCATATTTTTAGTTTCCCAAGTTGAAGATTTTTCAATAAAAAATTGTCTATTTCACAAGATAATATGTGTTGTTGTAGAATCAATGAGCCCATCATTTGATTTATCATTAGTGGTTTTGTCATTCATATAAGCTCTAAGTCATCAAGACCAATTGAATCCATCGACGCATCCATGGTATGAACTTCACGAGCCTCAACTCGTAGTTTTTTATTTTCTTAGAATATTTTAATAAAATATTCTAAAATATGGCACACATATGCTAAATATCCAATCATTCCACACTTATAGCAAGTATGCATCTCTGATTTTTGTTTTCTACTATAATTAATAGTAGAACGTTTATTCTTTTCATATGGATAGAAATAGTTATGACTATGACTACCCTGATATTTATAAGCACATTTTCCATGTTTATATAATTTTTTCTTAGATTTTGAAATATTAAGTGCATGAGATTCTGGAACTGTAGTTCCAATAGAACGAGCTTTTGCATTGCATAAGAGTAGCTTATTTTGCTTCTCTGCAAGAAGTAGATAGGACATGAGATCAGAATGACTTTGAAATTTCATGTTCCTATATTGTTGTGCAAGCACAGTAGATATAGGAGGAAATGTAGAGAGAGTTTTTTCAATCATTTCTTCTTCAGAGATGCTTTGTCCACATAATTGTAATTGTGAGACAATACTATACATTTCACTATTGAAAGTATTTAAATTTGGAAAATCCAAGACATGTAAATGTGTCCAATTATGACGTGCACGTGGAAGGAAAATGATCTTTTGATGATCAAACTTGGATTTAAGATTCTTCCAAAGTTATGCAGGATCTTCCATTTTCAAGTATTGATATTGTAATGCAAGTACAAGATGACGACGAAGAAAAAGAAGTGCTTTCCAACGAATAGCAAGAAGAATAGAAATACTTATTGTAAGAGATTCTTCAAATATAATGGCATCCAAGACTTGTTCTACAAATAAATTTATTTTTGCCATTTTTGTCCATAATAGATAATTGTTTCCATCTACAGTCAATGGTGGAAATAATAGAGTTTGAAAATGTTGGGATGCATTGGTAATAGTTGGAACTATAGTAGAAGCAGTTGAAGATGTTGAAGCAGTCATTATAAATAAATTTGTAAAGAAAATATAAAATCAAGTAAAAAAGTTAGATAAAATGTACATTAAAATATAAAGTCAAATAAAATGATAAACTTGAACTTAAAAAATAAAAATATTATATATATATATATATATATATATATATATATATATATTTAGAGAGAGAGAGAGAGAGAGAGAGAGAGAGAGAGATTGTAGATTAAGGCAGTAGAAACAATAGTAGGACGGCGGCAACAGGCAGTGGCAGGGTGGTAGCAATAGTAGGGTGGACAGCAACGACAACGTCAGTGGCGGGAGGGTGGCGGCAGTGGCGGCAACAGGTTTGGCGGTAGTTTGGCAACAATCATGGGATGCAGCTAGGAACAAGGTGAAGCTGGGCTAGATCAAGTATTCTAAGCAAGTATTCTAAGCAAGTAGGGCAGAGAGTGGAATAAGTGCTCTAAGCAAGCAGCTAATGTGTGAAGGGCCAATAAGAAGAGCAACAAGATCATGAAGCGGAGACCGAGTAAGAATAGCAAGAGTCAAGACTAAAACAAAAAAAATTGTGATAGTGTTTAGAAGATAGTAATAGTAAGTAATACACACACACAAGAGTAGTAGTAAATCACACACAAGAGGGTTTCTAAGGAGAGAGAGCTTCACACATAAAATTCTATTAATCTGGTTGTATCTCATATACAAGAAGAATCTTGTATACAAGAAGAGAAAAGGGGAGAAGATAAATAGTACTTCTCCATTAGACTCTAATACTATTGCTATAGTATTTCTGTAGTCTACAATAAATATTATGGAGAGCACCAGCTACATTTAATGATCTCAACAAAAACAATAGGGTCTCTTTTCAAATGATGTAAAGGTGACGTAAATACTAGTACAAAATATGGTTGAAGATGTCAACGTTGCACTAATATTGGTACAAAGGACGTTGGCACACATTTATTGATGACATTTCAAATGCAAAAAACATGCGGATCAATAATAAGCAGAATGGCTTCATCAGCATTAGGGGTTAGAATGTATTCAGCATAGTCGAGGTTCGTAAAAGAAGGAAAAAAAAAACATGGACCATATTTCAGCAAATTCTTGCTTCGCCAATCCATACAATCACTGACAACTACAACCAAAACCCACTGTCTCTTTATTGATTTGTAAAGCACAGAAAACAAATGGTAGTTCGAGACTCCTACGTTCATGAAATGCATGCAAAGAAACTGTAACCTGATAAAGACAATTATATGTACAGAAACGATGCGGGAATGTTCAGTATTTACTTCTAACCTGCTGCAGCTCCAGATTTTCGTTGAAAATGTATGTGCACCCAACATACTGACCATTCCTTATACTTGGATCTGTTCATCGCCAAGCAATAACAACTACCGCTACCTCGAGCAACTTAGTGCTCCAATGGTGAAGCCGCACCTACACTAAATACTCATGGTGAACTACCATAGTCGACAATCTTTCATATGACCTCGTACCAACATCAAAATGGTGTGGTAAACTTTGGTCCCTCAAAGCGGTTACATTGCCCCCATTGGCTGGGGCATCACTGTCTATTGCAAGTACCAAGCTACGGATGGCTTGGACACCGTTCAAAGTATTAGGTTAGGCATCATTTTTGCGTCTCAGTTCGTAATGCAGGAGTCTCCCAAAGCATAAAGATCTTCGCCGTACACCAGGATAAATAAATAAATAAATAACTTGACATGATAAAATGGCCTTCTCTCTTACATGGAATCCGTCTTCAATTCATCAAAGTCGATATCATCTACGGTGCAGAAAAAACACATGCACAGTCGGCGTTAAAGTACACCTAGGATGTCCTGGATTGCTGAACGTTAGGACACGGACAAAACTCATCAACTTTTCTCTTCAACGATAAGAGGTTCTACTACACGCAGATCAAATTGAAATGAAGAAAAAGTTAGTCACACAGTTGGCAAAAAAGAAAAAAAAAGAAAAACAAAGAAAACGTAATTTTGAGCCCAAGAAATAATTACCAAGACCATCTTTGTCGGGTGACCGCAAAAATGTATCAGGTGTCAAGAACGGCGATCCAGAGTAGCTTCCCAGAGGACCCAAATCTAGATCTCCTGAAAAACATTTCAATACAAAGTATCCACATTGACAGATATCATCAAAATCAAGACTGCATATATATATATACTGCAAAAAAATGTTATATATAAATGTATTTTTATATTTGTATATATCTGCAACAACATGTTAACACTCTTCCACCTATTCAACCCACTGTCGAGCCACAGATGAATCCAATAATACTGACCTGCACTATTTGTGAGCTCTGCTGTCAAATCCGACAGACTGAAATTTCGGGGCAGCTGCCCAAGTGACCCAAGCGATTCCCTATGGCTGTTGACATCTGTGTCATGAGGACCCATCGGTATACCACCCATCCCATTTTGATTATGTGGATCGTTGGAAGTAAATGTACCATCCATACCCATAGACGTTGATAAGCCCATCCCCATACCCGACATGTCAGTTGGGCCCATATTCGCAAATGGAAATGAACCTCCAGGCATGCCTCCAGGAGTAGATTCCATGGAGCCGAGTGAAATGTCACTTCCATTAGACGATGCAGTACCTAGCGACATATCTGCGAGGCCACTGATACCAACGACCACGAAGAACACATAAGGATAACAGGGAGAAGATTACTGAAACATAATCTTGGTTTTTATCAAGACTAACGGCAAGTACTATGCAAGCAACTTCATGATAAGACAAAATATTCAGCACACTTACTTTGCTCCATCATTTTCATGAGAGTGGTAGCTGTCAGGCATAGCAGGACTACCGTTCACAAGAGGTGAGTTTGGTGGAGGCATAACAGCCATGGGTTGGATATGCGGATGACCAGGTGCAACACCAGTTGTTGATGTTTGCATTGGATATCCCAGCGGCGTGTGATGCACTGTAGTTCATCACAGCAAATGAGTTCTTCGTTTACGTATATGGCCTCACAATATCAATCCCCTTAGGGAATAAGCCTTTGGGACCAAGCCCACAGAACTTCACCGTCTTCATCCATTTCAGCATCAAAACATCTCCAACCTAAGAGTAGAAACTTCCTCAAAGACTACAAAGTAACGTACAAAAGACCCTCAATACAACAGAAAAAATAAAATAAAATAAATATTAGAATTCATAGAAACTCAGCCATGCGAAGATACAGTAATTTAGGGGGCAAGTATTGACCCTGCATATCTTAAATAAGGACTTCAGAAGCATACTTGGAGCAGGGTGCATGCCATTCTGCATAGGGAGGGGAGTTTTGGTAATAAGGCGCATCTTGTGCATCAGCTGCACTTGCTGCTCCAGTAGATGGTTGAACAGCACAATCTGCTTCTTGAGCTTCAGTCGAGTATAGTAAGCTTTGAAGAACTCTGGATTTTGTTCCTCCAGCTTTTGCCATACTGCTTCGTGGATACCGAAAAGAAACCATTACGCGATTGGGATGAACATTGAAAAAGTTTGCCTCATGGACAAGAGGGTAAGTTATAAATCTAGAGACTTGGCTAAGAGAGAACCACTACGAAGGCAGATCTGATTAAGGGACGACGTCACACAGGGACGACCGTGAGAATGAAAAAACGCTCACCAAGACTAGTAAAGCCAGGTTCAATCTTAGCTTGATATTGCAACGTAGTAATCACCTCGCTTTGGTTCATGTATAACTGAAGACATCGTTCGATCAGATTCTGGACCTGCATCAAAGGAAACACCCACTCTTCAATGAGGGCCAAAGCCACTACTAAAATTGCCATGTACTTCTAGTTCAGGACACAAGCCAGGGTAAGGATTTCATCATTAGCATTCGCTGAATGGTTGATTCTAGCCAGGGACTGATGAAATGCAAGTGAGAAATTCGCTTAGTCTATTCCATAACAAGGTTGTACTGAAAGTATGATAAAATAATCGTGTGACATATTCAAGACAGATTCCTTAGGCACAACCATGTTAAATCATACATGAAGACAACGAACCAAACTACACTAATGTAATTTTTGGAAGTTGCTTTCTACACATGATACTCCAAAACAGAAATGCAACTACAAGCAGCTGCAAGAGCTGGTATGCGTTGCTGGATGAGCACTTGCAGCGACTCATTAGTCTGGTCCATGTAAGGGACACTGCTTAACTGTGACCCATTTTCTTATGAAATAGAACACGGGTTAGCGCACCAGCAACGAGATTTCCAATAATCAGCTTGATTGAGAGGAAGGAAACGAGGATTGTGTCCTACCAGCTGAATGTCCTCACAAGAAATTTTCCGCCCTTCATTGTTAGGAGGTGGCCCTGAATTAGGATTATTGCTCGGAGGAACTGATTTGGTGGTAGCTTGTTGTTGCGGTTGCTGTTGTTGGTGCTGATTTTGTTGTTGTTGCTGTTGTTGTTGTTGCTGCTGTTGTGGTTGCTGCTGTTGTTGATCGTGTATCTGTGGTTTCTGGTCTAAAATTTGCTGCTGCGGAGGTGCGGAAGACCCAGTAGATTGCCCTTGTGAAATAGCGATCTACATACCAAAATGGGGCTCGAACCAGTCAAAGATTGAAACCAAAAGGAAGCCTTCATAAAAGAATGCAGCAGAATCAACGAAGACCCAAAGCAAGTGAGGACACCCACTCCTTACATAGTAAACCCTACACCTCACCACTTCAAATTCCCAGCGACTCCGCCACTACGCTGACTAAAATGACTCAGAAATCGACAACCCAAACCCTAAAAACCCAGGAATCGAGTCCCCATCACCCTTGCAGAGCTTCGACATGGTTTACTGTCCTGGTTCACCTTAGCAGAGCCGAGCTGCCCCACGACCTCGGGCTTCTTGTCCTCCTGCTGATTGACGTGATTACCGTGCTGGCCCTGGGGTGGGACACTGCTCGTGTCGTCTGTCACTCCAGCCATGGCGTGAGCCGAGCAAGCGGGTTTACAACAACGGTGCGCCCATCTACATCACAGCATAGCGATAACGGATTAGAGCAAGTCAGGCGAAACAAAAGCAGTCAATCTTTTGCATGTCCAGGAGCTCCCAAGAATGGAAAAAAACCAACTGCGTCGTCACCAAAGCTCCCCCACTCGTGCACACGAGTGCTGGACCCAACAGAACTATTGATAATAGTATTAATAATAATAAGGGGAGGGAGGGGGGAAAAAATCGGTGAAAAAAAAAAAACAACAACAACAACAACAACGCAGTCAGTCGAGAAAACCTCGAACAGGATTCCGCAACGGCGACGCAACACAATCCGCACCGACGACGAAGCGAGTGCACGCCTCAACGCTTCCCCCATTCTCCTCCTCGCTGCTGCTCCCCGCCGATTACCACCTAATCCCGCTCACTAATCCCCTCCCGTCTCTCACTAACCACGGACCCCCACTTCACTAATCACGCTCCCGTTGCCCTCCTCACCAATCAATCCCCACGCTCATACGTATATTAAAAGTAAATCCATTGAGGGTTTCCTTTTGTTTCCTACTTTTGCTTGTCGGCACAATTTTAATGCACAAGGAATATCAATCAAACCTCCCTGTGTCCATCTCCCTTGGGTTTGTAATTAGCGTGCCCTGGGTCTATCCACATCTACTCAGTAAAATCTATACATGGATGAATTCATTAAAAAAAAAAAAAACTTACTATAAGCAAATCTACTCTCTATATTTTTATCCTTACACCGTTTTGATGATATGAATCGCATCCTTTCAGCGATTTGGTAAATAATGTAGGAATGTAGAATATATATATATAAACTTATTTTGTGTTTGTCCATTAACTGCCCCTCCTCACCTGCCCCAAAAGGGACCCACTTGGAAAAAGACTCGGCATGACAAAAGCATTTCTTCAAAGCTGCCCGAAAGGACTTTTTGTCTTCTCTCCACTGTCCGGTCCCATGTCATTCATTCATTGGCTTCTTCAACGCACATGTTAGAATGAGCAAGACTTTTGGCGAACTCAGTGGGGAACGCGCAGGGTTTTCTCTGTCTGGGCCTCCCTAGCTTGGGAACCCTCTGTTCTCATCACATTCCCATTTCTTGTGAACCTACCTCGCTCCCGACTTTAATTGCACGCGGGCAGGGCAGGGCAGGGCAGGGCAGGGCAGTCAATAGAAGCAAAGAATAATGGGGTTAGGAAATAGGACTTAAAAGGAATTTTCAACATGCCCGGGAATGGTGTCAAACTCAAGAGCAGTTTGACCATCTCTGGCCACAGCAGCCACTCGAAAAAATTCTAGAACCCATTCAGATATATATATATATATATATATATTTTTCTGTCCGAATGTAGACTTCAAGGGGGGCAGCCCGTGATGTTGATATTTATCCAACCGTGGGCAGTATTGAAAAATGAGAGAGGCACGCTCTAGTTGATGGACAGAGGGGCATAATTTAGTTCAAGACATTCATTTTTATTAGTTTTATCATTTTTTTATTCATCATCACAAACATCTAATATGTGAAAATAGATGTATATTACAATATTGCTTCTAAGATTTTTTTGAGTCAAATCTAAATAGAATTTTTTGAATTGTTAATATTATTATTATTATTATTATTATCTGTGATAATTCTTTTGAAGTTATTTTGATTTCCAATAAGCCATATTAAAACAGAATGCCATAATAAAAATTGTTTCAAATAGATGAAATTTAGATAAAAATTAAGTATTATCCATTGCTAAATTGTTCTTCTATCTACAAATTATAGGAAAACTTAAATTTAAACTAATTTGGACTAAATATTGAGACAAAGCTTCGAATAATTTTAAAATTACGAATAAAAATCTTTTTTTAAATCACGTTTTTTAATGATTCTTTCAATAATTTTACTTTTATTATTTTTTACAAAAATAATTGGCGTTTATGGTATGAAATCAAGGAATTATATATTTTTTCAATTTGATTCTATTATTAATAAAATCGTGTTATAACCATAAAATTTAAGACATTTCGGAAGAAAAATATTATATGTTATATTTTGGATTTAAAACATAAAAAATAATCTAAACAATTGGATTTATTTAATTTTTTTTATTACTTTTTATAACTTTTTTTTGTTTAATTAGATTCATGTACTGCTTTGGATTATTATTATTTTTTTCAAAACTCAGCCAATATTATTATTTAGACTATAAGTCTCTTGTTGCATGACATAAACAAGAAACATTGCTATTGATTTAAAAGAAAAAATTGATTGAAATATTTGCAATGAAGATATTATTTATCATATTCATTTAATTATATATCTTACTTAAATATAGACATTAAAAATTAAAAATTTGAAATTCTTTGATTTTTTGCTATGTATCTTAGATAATAAAATATTTTATAAATATGAAATTTAAATATAGCTAATTTCTTGCCTAACTTATAAGTCGTAAAAATATAAATTATATTATATATCTTTTCTTTGAAGCCAAATTAAATAAAAAAATATTTTTACCAAATCACATCTAAGAAATTAACCTATTTTATAAATTATATAAAGAATGATTTAAGATATGATTATTTAGAAATAATTAATATTTTAAAAATTAATAATAAAATATAAAACAATAAAAAATCTAAAAATCCAAAAAAAAAAATTAACTAGATAAAAAAGGAAAAGAAAAAAATGAAACCAACTATTATTTAATATAATAAATATTAAAAACTATTATTATTATTATTATTATTATTATTATTATTATTATTATTATTATTATTATTATTATTATATTTTTAAAAAATTACTCAAATAAGTTCATTAAAAAGATCATGTCTACATTAATAAACACATTAATTATTAATATATAATAATTTTTGTATATCATTTGTAAAACTTTAAATTAAACATATTTTAAATTTTTATATAATACAAAGGTTTTTTTTGATATAATGTTATATTTTATTTTTTAAATATTTTTTGTATAGTTACTTTAATATAAATATAATTAAAGAAAATAGTTAAATTTTACTTTATTTATAAATATTGGTATTTTTATTTTTATTTTAGCATACTAGATTAATCTAGTGATATATCACTTCATTTAAAAATTCTTAAAGAATGTTAAAAATGTGTAAAATTGTAATAAATATAAAATAATTGATTTAAAATATAAATACATATAATATGATATGAGATATAAATTTTATTACAACAAATTATACTCTTATAATTCAATTTGTATCTTTGTAATGGCTCACTTAGTGAATCAAATACAAATAGCCAAAATAAGTATATGAGCCAAGTAAGTTTGTGTTAAATTAATAGTATCATGGATATATATCTATTGTGATTGTTATTTAGATAATATGAATAGGTAGAAGTAGGTAAAAGTAGATTAATTTCATAATACCTTCTAGAGAAGCTTCCTAGAAGCTTATTAGATGCTATTTTGACTTTACATATGTTTGTAGTTAATTGATAGGTTTGAAATTTGGTCAACAAGCTAAGCACATATCACATGTGTTGGTAGCTTATAAAATAAGCTAATTATGTGGTACCAATGTAAAAAACTTATCTTGTAAGTTAAGATATGTATCATGCAAAGTCAATATGGTTTTGGAGGTCCTATAGAATGTTGCAACATAGATCTTAGGTAGATAGTATATATAGAGATAAAAGTGAAGTTTTCTTTACTTTTATCAACTCCTTTCTTACTTCTAATCTAATTCAAGAGTCTCTAGTTTCTTTATCTTTTAGCAATAGCCATTCTAGTTTCTTTTTCAATATACATACTTCTCTATTTTTATTTTTTCATAGTTCTTTGATAGAGTCCCACTTATTTATTTGCTTCTATCAAGTCTTTGTCTTTGGCAGATTGATAAGAGTACACTTATAATATTAAAGCTTTGTCTTTTCTTGATTAAGAATGGATTACCTCTTTTTCTTGATAAGACTTAAGCATATTAGGAGTTGCGGATTATCCTATTCTAAACTGATATTGTCTTTAGTATTTTTTCTTTATTTTAAAGACTTCTCTTCTATTTATCTTCAATGATATTAGACATCTTTTTTTCTTTAAGTATTATCATAGCAAAGTTTTTTGAAATGAAGAGAGCAATGGCATAAATGCAAGAGCAATTTAAAGAGTCAATACTTGCGATGCATCAACTCAATTTACCATCACATGAAGCAAAAAGAATGGCAGGGAGCAAAAGATATAGAGATGATTGAAGTTGCTTCAATCTACACCAAATCATGTCTCTTCTCATATACTAGAACATCCTTCTAGTATTAAAGAACCAAGGATTGTATTGCTTGAGAAGTTTGATAGCACAAGATCTAAGTTTCAAAGATTTATCAATCAAGTACAACTTGTGATTGAACTTCAATTCCAAAGCTATCAAACACGAGGATGGTAAGTTAGATTCATTAGTATATTTCTTTTAGATTCATCATTATCATGGTTTTTTATCTTTTTTGATTCACAACATTTAATATTAGATAATTTGGAGGTTTTTTTGATAAAATTTTGATCTTTGTATAGAAAACATGATGCAATTTGTCTTGCAACTAATAAGATCCATATTTTATAATATGGTAGTCAATCAATAATATTATATGATTCAAAATTTTGACAACTTGTATTTAATATCAAGTGAGATGATGTTGCATTTGTTAGCAAATTTTTCTATGGATTATAATATGAGGTAAAAAAATTGATGCTCAACTTATCTTAGCCTCAAACATTGAGTCAAGAAATTTACTTTGTTCTAAGGTATCACAATGAATTTTTTGAATTTTGATCTCAAAGTCACATAAGTGCACCTCAATGTTGTTATAATTCAATGAAAATGCCAACATCTTTTCAACAAATATATTTGAAAGTAGAGAATATACAAATTGATGTGGTATGTTTTAAATCTCTTATTGAGCAAGAAAAGACTCATCATCGTCAAGAAGGATTGTGCTTATATTATAGAGAATTTAAGAACAATTCTCAATATTATCCAAAAAAATAATACAATGAAAAAATAAAAAATATAGTTATCAAAAAAGATAGTATGTTGAAAAATGAGTTTGTTCAATTATAATAGAGATCATGCAGTTGGAATCTTATATAATACTTAGTGAAGGTCCTATTTTCTTTTCAAAATCCTTTCTTTGTTTTACAATAAATGTTATTTTAGAATCTAAACATCACAAAGTCTTTGCCTTATTAAATTTAAGAGCTTGAGTGTGTTTTTTAGATGGATAATTTACTAAAAGACATATCATATTTTTATTGAAGAAAGTTAAACCTATTTACATGGAAGTCATAGATGGTCATCTATTATCTTTAAAAAATATTCTCAATAAAATCCTTCCTAATAATGGTCATAATAGCTTTGTAATATTTAATATCATTAGATTTCTCTCTAATCCAATTATTTTAGATTTATCATGGCTA